CTCTGATCGTGCTCAGCATCGAAAAAGCGTGCAATGAAAAATCTGAAAAAGTCTTGTAAATCGAGAACTTTTTAAGAAAAGAAAAGAAAAATCCACTTAATTCTGTGCTGTGTTACCAACATAAAGTGATAACAAAATGTCTAATCAAATGGAATTCATGATGCAGCTTTATATGATGAATTTGTTGCAACAACAGCAGCAGCAACAACAGCAACCGCAGCCACTGCAACAACAACTGTTGTCCAGCTTACTACACACACAGAAAGAGGATATCAGCAGCAGCACTTGCCTACAACAACAGCAAGAGCAACAGCAGCAACAGCAGTATCAACACAAGACAAGAACGCAAAAACGAACAAATTCGCAAAACTCGAACTGTAGTAGTAGCCGTAGTTGTAGTCCCAATAGTAATTTGAATGCTTTATCACAACAACAATATGATCAACATACTACAACACTAACAACTCCCTCAACACCTAACAACATTACGAACACAAACCCAGGTTTGGCTTACCAGTTGCCGCAAATGTTGCTGGGCACGTTACCTCTTTCTTTGCCTCCACTAACGCGTTTTATGCTGCAACAACAACAACAGCAGCAGCAGCAGCAACAATTGCTGACAACGGCGCCAACAACCCTGTTACTAACCCCCAACACGCCCAGCTCTCTGAAAAGTGAGCAGCTTACCAATAACTTTTTGCAATCCTCCACAGTGACATCGACGCCAAATGATCAAGCAGCAGCAACATTTGCATCTGCAGCAGCAGCAGCTACTAATGTCCTTTCGGCAGTCAACGTCAAGTCTGAGCAGGATTTCGAAGATGAGGATGACAAGCCACTGTCTGCCTTGAACAGTTGCCACTCCTCGGAGTTAACCAGCACCAACGATGCGAGCACCAGTGTCAGCACCGAGAAGCTGCTACAGATATCGGGCATACAACCGCTGGAGAGTACGAGCGCCACTGACAGCAACGACTCACCCAGCATGGTAAGTGTTATAGTTCAAATAAACATTTATGTCAAAGGATTATCACCATTAATTGATTGTAGTTTTTAAGAGTTCGGAAAGAATGTCTCTATTATTATTATAACCCATTATTTTTATAACCCATAGCGCATAAATATTAATATTTACTAATGCCATTAGTGCTATCATTTAAGGCATAAATCTCCGTCTAATCATATTATTACTGATTCAATTCCGAGTCTATAGAAGCACATGCTATTGCTTAATATATAATTTGGTTTGGACATCTTTATTTCTAAATAAATACTCAATTCTCTTCTTGCCCTTCTGGTCTGAGATGTGTACTTTTTGTATGCATTTTATAAACTCCCACGCTGTCTGTAATTCGAGCGTGCCGTGTTGATAAAAATAAGCTAAATGAAACTTTGTAGCACTTGCATGCTTAATGTAAACAACAACGCCGCAATTCCAAGGAATACAAACAGCTGCTGTGTGGACAGCGCGTGGGCCTCGGCCTGCGCCCTGCAGCTGGCTGTTGCTGCTGGGCATTGGCACCGAGCAGTCTGATTTTTAGAAATATGTATTATGATTATTTAGTAATTCGTCGCCTCTGTTCTATGTAATACAGTACACACCCGTTAAGCAGCCAGCGGACTCATCGTACAATGTCGTCACCAGCATCGAAAATGAGAGCACTTTGAACACGCCTCAGGGACAGAACAATTCGATGCTGACGCCGCCGCCATCGAGTGATCAGGGCAGGGGCATTGTCAGTCTGTCCACAGCCAGCAGTCTGGATGCATTTCTACAGAACGAGGAGAATCTAAAGAATCTCCGCAAGGTATCCTCGTATTTAGAATGTGAGAATACACTCTGTCGGCAAGAGGCGTTGCGTGACCATTTCCACTGTTACGATGAGCCCTGCCAGGGAAAAATTCTCAGCAAGAAGGATGACATCATACGACATCTGAAGTGGCACAAGAAGCGCAAGGAGAGCCTCAAACTGGGGTTTGCCCGTTTCTCCTCCGCGGATGATTGTGCGCCCTCATATGGCGATGGATGCATCTACAACTGGAAGCAGACGCACTATCATTGTGTCTATGAGCACTGCCCCAAGGTTTATGTGAGTACTAGCGATGTGCAGATGCATGCCAACTTCCATCGCAAGGACTCGGAGATTGTGAACGAGGGCTTTCGACGCTTTCGCGCTCACGAAAATTGTCGCATCACGGATTGCCCCTTCTATGGCAAGAAGATATCACACTATCACTGCTGTCGTGAGGGCTGCAACCACACTTTCAAGAATAAGGCCGATATGGGTAAGACATGATTCAGATTTATCAAAGAAAAGGCGTCTTATGTATACTTGTATCTTTATTCTATTTTGGTTCAAAAGACAAGCACAAGACGTATCATTTGAAAGATTACCAGCTGACGCAGGATGGCTTCAAGAAGATACTGAAAACAGAACAGTGTCCCTTTGATTCCTGCAAGTTCTCCACGGTCTGCAATCACATTCATTGCGTGCGTGAGAACTGCAACTATATCTTGCATTCGAGCAGCCAAATGATTAGTCACAAGCGGAAGCATGATCGCCAGGACGGCGAACAGACGTATCAGCACATTAAGTCTAAACAGGACGACAATGTGTCGGAGGACAGAACCTCGCAGGAATCCACACCGGCACCATCCAGTACTGCCGTTAGCCAGCCTGCCTATGTGAACAGCAATAGTTCAACCTCGACGCCGCTCTCCTCCTTATCTGCGGAGCACTTCCTGGCACGCAAACGTGGTCGGCCGCCCAAGAAAATTGTAGGTCCATTCATTGTATTCTATCAATCTGTATCGTTTTACTGATGACATTCTTTACTCTCTTGCAGCAACTGCCTGCAGATGTTGAGCAGTCAGAGGCAAAGCGAGTCAAGCTGGATGACCCGAGCAACCATCCGGCGCAGCCGGTTTCAACGGGTCCGTTGCAGACTTCAGTCAACAGCAATATGCTAAGCAGTGCGCTGTTCCCTAATTTTATGCCCAGCTTTACAGCAGGTGCCGCAGATGCCACGGCGCCAAATTTCCAGCTAACGCATTTAATGGCTCTCTTCCAGCTACAGAATCCGCTTTTCTATCAGAATCTGTACCCAGGTGCGGCGGCTACCAATATGGGGGCCGTGCCACAAAATCAGTCCATATTCAACAATTTGGCAGCCTTCGGCGCCGCAGCTGCTGCAGCAGCAGCGAGCGTGCATCAGCCGAAGAATGAGTTTAGTATTAAGCCAGAGTTCAAAGAGTAATTGGCAAAGTCCTTAGCACTTAACAGATTTCAGAAACAATAAAATTTCGGGAATATATGTATATATCTAGGTAGAATTAGTTACATAGGAGACTGATTAAATAGGAGAATTTCGCGATTAGACAGGCTTTAAGCAGGAAGTTTAGCCAAGGAGTTCCGAATAACCTTTGACATGGCCAGGACGTGGCGTTCCCATCCCATTCCCCTTACAAAAGCCAACTCAGCTACATTTTGACTAGGGCATAAGCCCAACAAAATGTTGCTGAATTCGCTTTTGTTAATATGTGTTCCTTTTTTAACAAGATTTCTGCTTTCTACAGTTACTGAACAAAATAAATAAAATTTGAATTTAGTTTAACTAATTACTGTGATGTTTTGCATAGACCCAAAAATATGTTATCAATGTAAAAAATGTATTTTAAGCTATAGTGTTTCCGAAGCTTAGGAGATTTTGTTCAAATCAATGAAATGCATAACATAGATTTGTGATACTTTAATAAAATAAAATGAAATTAATTTAAAAAAAAATAGATTTAAATATTGCACAGTAGAAAAATTCCACAGATATAATACTTTCCAACAGGAAATTAAACTATTTAAATAAAATTAAATTTCCAAATATATAAGTCTTTCACATATATATTTATATTTATATCTCTACCAGTAAAGATTAGCTTCAACTGTAAATTTATATTTCGCCATAAAATAAAAAACATTTTGTATACCGATTAATAATTGCTATTCCATTTATTACTGTTTGGTTTCTTTGTCATTGGCGGAACACAAAATTAACTTCAGAAGAGCTCTAGACGCAATAAGAAAAAAAAAAAGCATCCAGCTAAGCAACTTACTAATCAATGAAGCGTGTATCCATTTTTTCATATATAATTTCTTGAATTCGTTCTTTTATTCGCACATAACAAAGTATATTTAAGCAATCAATATAGTTAAGTCGAAGAGCAGGAAGAGAGTTTGAAATGTACAAAGCTACTATAGTGAACACATACACTCAAGAGTTATTGGAATTTTTTCAATGTGCTGTTAGAATTTTGGGATTTTTGCCGTTTATAAGCAAATGCAAATAATATAATAATAAAAACAATCATTTATTTATTTATAGAAATTTAAGCACGTCTGTAATAATTAATTGACTAAAACTAAAAAAACATTAAATTAAACAAGTAAAGCTATTTAAACTCGACACACATTAAGTAAATATGAATTAAGAAAAACCTAAACACGCTATAGAGACCGAGAGTACTAAACAATAGGCTTATATTCATCCATATATATAGGTGATGATATATGGGACCTAAACATCCATTTGTTTTACAATTTACGCTATCCAAAATCTATATATAATGGTTGTTGCAAAAGCATTTGTCCAATTACATATATAAGTAATATATAAATATATAATATATATATGTATATTATATATATATATATATAATATATATATATATATAAATATATAGCGCTCATATATATATATTTGTATATATATATATATATATATATATATATATGTATGTATATAAGGTTTAGGTAATTTCGGGAGCGATATATCTATTACATATTTATGTATGGCAACCATTTGTGCGCAACCTGCAAAATAATTAAATTTCTTTTAGCATCTGTAGTTTTTTTTTGTATTGCATCTAAGTCGCAACTGAGGTTAACTGTTAAGCTTCATTTTTTTTTGTGAGGCATCTAAGCTGCTTAGAGATGGGTTTTCGGTAGAGGCCACGCAGCATTTTGTCCATCAATCAGAAGCGTTAACTGCGACCGGTGGCCGCTGCTGTTGGACCTGTTGTTGGTATCTCAAGCTCCACCGTTGGATCTGCGCTGCTCGGCGGCACGCCTGCCAGTGTAATCGCTCGCATATGATGTATGGGCCGTATGGACTTCAGCTGAGTGGTGCCCTTGAAACGAACATTAACATCGCCGCCCACCATACTAAGTGGATGCATGCCCGGCTCAGGCTCCCTTCCATCCTGCACACCCATGGCAGCAGTTGTGGTTAAGATTTGTTCGACTGGTGCCACCGTAGGAGCTGTTGTAATTGCAATGGCGCCACCATAGCTCTGCCGCGTGGCTAACGGCGAAAGCGCTGTGGGCGTGGTCTTATACCCCATGCGACTAAAGATGCTTCCAACACTGCTGTTGCTAATGGTGCTGTTGCTGCTTGCCGTACTGGGTGGACTCAGTGGTGTGCCAACACCCGAGTCCACCTCTAATGGACTTTTCATATTAGCTACAAACTTATCGACATGTTCCGGCAGCTTTAACTCATCCAGTTTCGTTTGCATCACGCTTCTTGCATTGGTATTGTCCAGCAGCCGATTGGGACGCGTTGGTGGTGTTGGCGAGACAGAATTATTATGGAATTCGGGATGGCCATTACTGTGTGTGTTACGCTGCTGCTGCAGTTGTTGTTGCTGGTGGCGCAGTTGCTCAAAAAAAGGTGTCTTCTCCTTCTTCTGCTTTTGGGGCGAACCATGTTCGTCTTTTTCGCTCAGCTCTTCGAGCACCTTTAGTGGAAACCCCAAGTGGCTATTGACCGAAACGGATTTTCCAATTTTACGCTCGGCAAAGATGGGCTTGCGTCGCTGTCGCTCCAGGTCATCTAGTTGCTGCAGCATTCGTCTCACCTCACTGGGCAATTCTAATTCCGGATTGTACTCCACCAGTTGCCCAATGTATCGGCCGAGGGTTTGTATTGTCAGTTCCAGCGACTGCACCTGTGTTTGCAGTGTCGATATTTGCGTTTGCTGTGAAGAACGCGTCATCTCCAGCTGTGCAATGGATGATTGAGCGAACTGAAAGGGCAAAAGACTATTAATACTTTACAAAAATTAATTACAATTTCAGGTACTCGCCTGCAGCTGCTGCTCAAGATGCTGATTTAGCGACTTCTCTCTATTCAACAGATCCAGATGATGGTTTGTTGTAGTTATTTCCTCCTGCAACACGTTGTACTCCACATTGTACTCCGCTAGCTGCTTGCCAATGTCCAGCGAAAACACAATTTTTATGATTTGCTCCATGCAGTGCTCCTCAATTTTAGGCACCATCGATTTCAAATAATCCATTATCTCCTCAAAGTTATTGCGTGCCAGTAGCTGTTCGTTGTGCACAGTGAGCAACGCAATAGCAAACTTAAAAATAACATCAGAGGATTCAAGGAAAACCAAATCAAAAACACGCGCTACAAAACCCAATGGAAACTGTGAACTGAATACGGTAAGAATCCACGGCGCTGCATATAAAGTGGGCGAAACATCGTTCTGATCCAGCCACATATACAGATCGGGAAGATGATCCTTGACCAGACGGGACAGCTGATACAGCTGCAGCTGAAACTTTTTCATATCTGGCAGGTATTTGGTGCGCATGTTGCGACAAAACATTAGGTGCTTCAGCAACTGAAAAGCGCTGGCTTCATCGCACTGGGAGACAAGAGTAAATATTAGTATATTATATAAAGAGACTTCATTAAGAATCTACGCACATGTAACAATAGCACACCACAAATAAATCCGAGACCTTGACAGTATCCCAGTTCTGGATCGAGTATGGAGTATGCCTTCAGCAGATTAAACAGCGACAATTGACCCAGCCCAAGCGGATCCTTGTAAAATTGATGATTGGGAAAAGTGCGCCCCAGGTCAATAAATATCGCATGCTGATGTTCGGTCAACTGTTTAAGCAGCGTATGATACGGTGTGTTGTAGTTTGGAAATCGTTTCGTATCCACTGGCGCCATGTTCATCGAATACTGTTCGGCCAAAAACGTCCACACGTCACCACGCTTTGACCGCGGCACTCCTGTACGTATAGCATGGCGCAGCACTTTGGGATCCTTTTTGTTGCCAATTTGCATAGAGTTCCGCTCAATGATTTGCTCCCAGCGTTCGATCAGCTGCTTGTCGCATGGTACAATCTCCTCATAGTCAAGCTTGATGCGCTTTAGCTCGTTCTCATTCTGGCGTGCCTGCAGCATGGCATTCTCCGTTTCCATGCGGTTCAGCATAATTGTCTGTCTAATAGCCGTGCGCCACAGCTCTCGCAGCTCGGCTGCATCGCGTTTGCCACGCTTTACAGCTGTAAAAGAATATCAGAATATCAGATTGAAAAGTGGATAATTTTTAAGACCGGACTAACGTTTGCGCATGGGCGACAGAAATTCGGTGGGCGTCTCGTTATCCAAAGCCTTGGACGGAGTAACTACGCTGTTCAGTATAGCCTGTCGCCATGACCCCTGATGTGTCTCAGCGTCCTTAGGACTGTTACCCACTTTAATGAAGCTGCGAACAAGGACTCTTATTAATTATACGTCCTTCTCAAGCTTATAGTGTTCAAGTTGACATAGCTCGGATTCACTTACATATCCATCATTGGGCTCTTAAGGTGATCAGCACTTGGTTTATTGCTGGGGCTGGCGCCTACAGTGCTCGCTCGAGATCTGAAGCCCGGGAGCGAGCCGTCGGTGCCCTGTTGCTCTGCAGATCCTTCACGTATTTCATGCAAATTGTGTGTTGGAAGGGATATGTCGTCCTTGGAGGGTTTTCGTTTGAGCAGGTTATCAAATGAGTTTGTCAGCGATCGTTTCGCCTTCATGAAGATGGTGCTGCCGCCCAAATACTGATTAAGAAATTCAGATCGGTTCTCAGCGGTATCATGAACATGTCGCTGCTGCCGCGACTCGCAATGTGCCCGTAACAGCATCATGAGGAACTGGTTCTGTTCAGAGACAGAGCAGTTTGTCTTCTCAGATCCATAGTACTTGGCGCAAACCATATCGTACTCATCAGCGCTCAGCGTGGCAATGTGACGCCAAATGGCGGTCTGCGTTTTCTTTTCGGAAAGCCCCTCCACATCGGTGCAGAGCTTATGATACCAGAGCATTGGGCAATGCTCGCAGCTGAAGATCTGGGTCTCATGTTTCTTTTTTTGCTCGGCGCAGGTATCAAAGGCTTGGGCAATGGCGGCTACGATGTCATCACATACGTGCTCTGACTGGCACTTAAACACATAGCCAATGTAGCCTTCGCTGTTCAGCTCACGGCAGATGATGCCGAAGTGATCCACCGCTTTCTGGCCGTGCACACAGCTGGCCACATCTTTGAAGTCCTTGTAGAGCAACACCTGCTTGCGATCCGGTGAAATGAGTCTCAAGTCGCTGCGACCCACCAAGAAGACCATCGTGCGATTCTGTTCAGCATAGGGTGGTATGCAACCCTGCGAAGCAGAACGATCTCTCATCTTGGGGATACTGTAATACGAATATAAAGCAAAAGATAAGCTAGGTATCTATTTGATATGCGTATATTTGGAAAGCAAGCCATGCAAATGTGTGGACATATATAACGAAACAATAAACATAGGCAAACAAATACTATCAGGCAACAGAATTCGATGTCCGGGAAGGGTAATTTAATAGCCAACTTAATATGCGAGCGCTTTGGGCTAGGACGCCACTTACTTCTCCATCGTGTAGTGTGGATGCAATTGATTAGAGCCAGCTACTGCTGCGGATGTTCCCAACCCCGGATTCTCATCCTGCTCTTTCGATTCTGTGGGTTGTTTGTCTAAAGTGGCATTGGATGCCTCCTGTTGCTGACTAGAATCCTCTACCACGCTGCTTACATTTTTTTATAGATTTACAATCAGTTTTTAGTCATGGTAAAATGGGTACAGAAGTTACAGATTATAATTGTTTAATCAGCTACACTTACACCTGTTTTTGGCCCAGCTCCAGTTGGCTATGACCGCGCTGCAAGGCGCGTTTAGCTGGCGATTTATTCTCTTTGTTGGAGTCTAATGGCTGTGCTATGGCATCCATTTCGGCGCCCGTCAACTGGAGTTCGACCTGTGGCTTAGGCAATGCTTCTATCTCCTCCTCGTCCTCCTCCTTCAGCTCGTGGCTTTTTAAAGTTCCGCCTCCACTCTTAGCTTCAATTCCAACGCCACCTTCACTATTCAGAGACATCTTGCGATTTTGCATGATTCGCAAACGTTGCGCATCGTATGCCTTAAATTTGGGCAGGGCGTCGTCAATAAAGGTGTTGGGGACTCGCTTCTGTGAGACGCGTATCTTGCCCACATACATGACCTCAAAGAAGTGTGTGTGATTCGGCGAAATGTCCGCCAGCAGCGATAGATTACTTTGTGCCGACGTGGATGTGGGAATGTTTACTGTGCCCGATGAGTTGCTCAGCCCATGAGTGTAGGACTTTGATGATTTCATTTGGGAGCTTACTAGATTGGGACTAGCATCGTGTTGGGCACTACGCAGCGCCTCGCTCATCTTTAAATTTGTCGCCGGCGTGGCATGTATCCCATTCAGTGAACCATGGGCGCTGCCGCTAGCTCCAGCAATCAATGTTTGTGGTATGCTGCCCACCGAGCCGCCAAGCGTGTGCGCCGGGTCACGCATTTGATGCATCAGCTCTGCCATCTGCAAGCACGCACAGAAATAAAAGGTTGTAAGAGATTTAGTGCTACGTTGGCGCCTACAGGCGAACATGCTATAAGTATAAAAACAACAAGCTGCATACTCAAAACTCAACACCTCCATAACTCCCGCTGGCATTTCCCTCAACCCTTCCAAACTGGAGTGAGTAAATGATTGTTTGGTGAATTTTTAGCTTTGGTTCTAACCACTTTCTAGTTTGTTATCCCATTTAGTCTATTGACCTTGCCCTTATATTTTACTGTTTTCGTGGCTATCACATTCAACAAGACTGATATAATATTTCACTGAAATATTTATTTTTTATACCCTGAACCCATTGAAAATGGGAAATCAGGGTATAATGGTTTTGTGAAAAGTATGTAACAGGCAGAAGGAATCATCGCAGACCCCATAAAGTATATATATTCTTGATCAGCACGACGAGCTGAGTCGATATAGCCCTGTCCGTCTGTCCGTCCGTCCGTCCGTCCGTATGAGCAAAAGAATCTCAGAAGATATAAGAGTTAGAGAGCTGAAATTTGGCATGCATACTCGTGTATACCATAGGCAGTACAAGTTTGCTTTATTTTTTCGATTACTCGTCCGATAACTTTTTTATCGAGAATAATCGAAAAATCGACTTGGTTTTTTTCAGCATAATTTTAACACTTTTAGACCTGGAGACTTCAAATTTGCGTTGTATATAAAGTTAATGCATAATGTAATTTACAGATTTTGGATACCACGCCCCCTTCGCCACCAATTTGTAAAAAACGCATTTCAAGTACTAGAGACTTGTGCTTTGGAATGTACACATATTTTAACCATATGATTACGCTCTAAAAGTTTCATTAAGATCGTATGTCTACAAAAGAAATTATTCAACAAATAAATTCTCATAATATTGCCCACACTAAAGTGCAGCCCAAGCGCAGTCGCTGCTAGCTGCGCAGTCAGCAGAGCACGTGCTTATAAGTGCATGTGTATGTATGTGTGCATAAAAGAAGTCCAGACTGATTAGAATATCAGCTTGGAGGGTTCAGGGTATCTCCTAGTCGAGCAGTCTCGACTGGAGCCTTCTTACTTGTTAATGATAGTTAAATTGCTTAAATAAACGAGAGCGGAGCTAAACTTACATTAATTACATTTTTAAATAATATTACTAACGTATATTTAGGTCAAATATGATTTATATGGATGACTTAAATGTAAATATTTCTAGAAATGCTAGTGTTATTTAATCTACCCTGATTATTAGAAAAGTTTTGAAATTTGGAACTAACGCTTGTCTTTCCAATATTTACCTATTTAGGATTGACTAATGAATGATTAATTAAGAAATTTATATGAAAATTTCGATGATTTATAGTCCATTAAAACAGTAGAATCCGGATATAACGACGCCCAAGAGACTGTCGTTATAACCGGAAGACGCTATAACAGTGTAAGTTTGCCCATATAAGTGTGCCTGTCGACCAGACTTTTCGTCGCAATAACCGTACGGCCGCTATAAGCGAAGTCGTTATAACCCGATTCTACTGTATCGGGGTTATAAATATATCAATTAAACTGTATATGTGGTTTGCCGAATATCAATAACGTTTTATTATTTGTGTTTATATAAATGAAAATAAACTCTAAAATTTTCTATAGTTATTTTGGAAAATTTTTACAAATGAATTTCCAAATTTCAATTTTATTGGTATGATTAGTACAGAACTGCAGTAAAATGAACGAGCGCGCTTCAATAGCTATGTACACTTTATTCGACCACATAAATATTTCATTATCATGTTCACTATTAAAGTACAGACATCGAGTCTACCTTTCCTCCCAAACATTTGACCAATGCATCGTAGTAGTAGTTTATGAATAGAATGAGTCTTCCAATCCAACAGCTGTTCACTGCGCATTGCTGAGAGAGCAAGAAACAGAGAAAGAGATACATGAAGCGAGAGAGAGAGGATAGAGAAACAGAGAGACAGAAAGGAGTCAGAGGCAGAGGAGAGAGAGGGAGAGAGGAGCGATAAAGAGACCCTGCTCATTTCTGCGCTCCGATCTGTTAGACGGTCTGTGGCTCAATTGTGCGGCATTGAAAAGCTGCCAAAGAATCAGTGAAAAACTAAATAGTGCAAGAAGCTAAAGTCCAATGCCAGTGCATAGTGCAGTCGGTAAGAAGATGCGCTCTGTTTGTGTGAGATACTTTAACTGCAATAACATCCAATTGTCATTTATCAGGACTTTTGGGCAAAAGCAGTGTACCAATATACAAATTTAAATTACGCTACTTCTTTGGCTACCCACATCGAGATAAATTGATATGCACACATACATACATAGTATATGTGCATATTCTTTTTGTTTGTTTTAGGTTCTGTCTCTGCTTTGTCTATAGGAAGCTGATCAGTGATCACCCGCTGGTCGAGTGATCATGACGTCATTTCTGCAGACCATACAAATTCACATATCTCAAAATATTCTGCCAGATGTACATATGTACATATATAAACACAGTTTACACATATACATACGTAGCAAATAGTTGTTTTTATATTCATTCACGAAAATGAAATGAGTATATTGGTTTTGTGCATGTCGGTCTTGGGGTCCGCCCGTTTGTCCGTTTGTCGGTATAAACGTAATTTATTCGGCTCTATTGAAGCTAGAGACTTAAAATTTGGCCTTTTTGCGTGGCATATAAAAAAATACCCTGTAATTTTCACATTTTTTGATCGTAAGCATCCAAATTTTGCAGTTACGTTACCTTCAACTCGTTCTACGATCTGTCTAGTAAGTGCATGGCTATTAGAGCAGTATTAGAGCTAGAAATTGAAAACATATATATATATATATGGAATCAATATATATATATATATTGACTCTAAATGTTTCGATTTATATAGATTTTATGTGAAGAAATTAAAAAGGGCCGTCATTAAATTTAATATATATATATATATATATATATATATATATATATATATATATATATATATATATATATATATATATATATATATATTATGTATATAATATAATATAAATTGCTGATGGGATGTGAATGAGTATTATGTAGTGGTAACGCCCGACTGAAACTTTCTTACTTGTTTTTATACCCTGAGCCCATTTCTTACTTGTTTTTTAATTGCTTTGGATGTTGTAATAAGTATTCAAAGATAAAATTATAAATAACAGATCAATCATTCTGATATTTAATCAATGATTTGCTTTATCATCTGCTTTCCTGATGTATTGTGTATGAATTGAGTGTATAGAAGGGCTTGCAGTATAAGCAAAGAATTGTCACATAATTTACTCATAATTGTTTGCAAAGCATTTCACAGGAATTCAATAAAACGTCACGTTCGCATCGTGTTTTGCCCTGCTTTTATATTTTTATATCTACGTGCTTCTAAATTTTTGTCTGTGTTCAATTAAAAATAACAATATGTTGTTAATTTGCCCCAAATATTTTAAGCTAAAATCAACAGTATTAAATTATTTATTTTGACAAGCTACAAAAAGACCTTGTGCACCATTGTACCGCTTGCTGCCAATAATATCGTTTAAAACTTAACAGATATGGGGATTACTTGCAGAGATCTGATTATAGAGCTCAAATATTTTAATTTTAAGAGCAATGCAAAATTACATGTTTTATTTTCCCTGGACATACCGGGTATATTCATTTGATATAATTTATTTATTTAATTATGATATTCAAAATGTTATATAAATGAAGTACATTCCTGCATCATTTGTGAATTACACTTCCCTGCAAGGTTCAGGAACTTTCCTCTGTCAAGCACTCCCCACAGAGACAATATAAAAGCAATTTAATCCAAAAGTAATTCATTAACAGAAATCGATAAAGAATGCTTTAATAGATATGTATAAATATATATATACATATAAATTTATATTGATTCCAAATGTTTCGATTTATACGGATTTTATGTGAAGAAATTAAAAAGGGCTTTAATTAAATTTAATACGCGTCTTTAATGCTCATTCTAAACTATAGTTTAAAGCATAAATATTCCGGCTCGCTGTTCAACAATCTAGTTCATTTGTCTTTTTATACCCTGAACCCATTGAAAATGGGAAATAACAGGCAGAAGGAATCATCGCCGACCCCATAAAGTATATATATTCTTGAGCAGTGCGACGAACTGAGTCGATATAGCCCTGTACTGTATACACAGTATATCATATTTTTTCGATAACTCATCTAACTAACTTTTTTATCGAGAATAATCGAAAAATGAAATTTTTTCAGCCTTATTTGAACACTTTTAGACCTGGAGACTTCAGATACCAAGATTTACAGATTTTGGATGTACGTGCGTAGTTGTTTTGTAGTTGTACGTGCGTGTCGATGCGTGTGTGCATAAAAGAAGTGAAAATGAGTAGAATATCAACTTAGAGGGTTCAGGGCATCTCCTAGTCGAGCAGTCTCGACTAGCGCGTTACTTGTTTTTTTAGAAAATGTTAGACGTTGTTTTTAATAGGGAAGTACTAAGTTCAAACTGAAACAACCGCTTTTTAATGATCCTCAATAAACCAGTATATTAACTACTAGTATAAAATGTTAAGCTAATTGAAGTTTCAGTTAACTACCACTAATTTACATACGTGCATTGAGACGTACATACATATATAAAAGCCAGTAAAACAATATTTTACAAAATTAAAAATTTATTGTATACATATAAATCAATTTCGTGTAAAAGATGTATATATATATATATAAAATGTGGTTTAACTTAGACTGGAATGATCAATTATTATAAGGGAGCACCAATTAAAGTTGAATAGAAGTGCAGTACGGGAAGTTACTAGTTTTCTCGTTCATAGTTAGGCCAATCCTAAATACTGTAATTAGTTTAACTGTGGGGTAAATACGGAGAACAATCGCTGCATGCAAAAAGTGAGATTATGCATTACATAAGGTAGAAACAATATATAAAACAATGCACAGTAAACAAGCAAGTAGAAAAACAAAGTGAAATTACAAAGCAAAAGGAATTGCACAACGGCACAAGTAATTTCGAATTGAGCATATCAATAAACAAAGCAAAAAGCAATCAAATCTACTCAAGGCACACAACATTGAAATTGAAATCAATTTATAGAGTTGGCATTTATAGACCCGGAGATCTTGTACATACGGTACGGCTCTTATTCAGCACAGATGCATCACTGACGGACGCCGTCAGGATTGTGTCCCGATGAAATGGCACCGTAAACATGTTCTATTATCAATCGTAATTGTGTTGACTATTATTTTTTTTAGAATTGTTGCCTTTATGGTTGCTGCTACAGTTACGAAACTTACTATTGGCGCGAGTGCCCCAGGGCCCGTTGCCACTTTGGAGATTTTCACTTATTTTCACTTGTTATTTTTAAATGGCACACTATAAGTTTTCCATTTTGAAACTGTACGTTTTCTATTTTCACTTAAACTTTTCTTTAATGTCTTTCAATCGTGGATGCGAACGCAAATTAAAAATATTAAATTCTATATATATATTTTTTTTTTATAATTGTATTTTCTTTATATATATAAAAATGATAAACTATATTATTATTATTATTTTTATTATTATTATTATTATTATTATTTTTTATTATTATTATTATTATTATTATTATTATTATTATTATTATTATTATTTTTATTAATTATTATTAATAATTATATTATTATTATTATCCGAATCGATAATCCACATGTAAAGGGTAAATCAACTTCAAATAAAGATTTTATTCAATTTGCTATTATAGAGTTAGTTCTAGAGAGGTGTTCCAAAATAAATTGTTGTGGTTAATTTGTATGATAAGAGCTCACATTATTGCATACATAGAAATATTCTACAAAGTGGTTATTCCCATTGTTTTATATTTATGACGAACACAATATGAGCTGAAAGTATCGCCAGAATATACATATATACCTATACATATACGCATATTGTCGAAGCTTTAATTAGTTTGCTTCATTTGAAAATTTTTCTGTTTGCTTTGCCCATTGACAGGCAAAAATTTGTTTAAGTATTTAGGACAACACAAATACAATCGATTCGCTTTTAGGGTTTTATGTAAGAGCCGTTTATCGCGATCTAATAGGTGAATTTTTAGTATTATGATGACATGAGAATTTATAAAGCAAATATAGGCAGCTTTAAATATCTATTTAATTAGTTATTTTAAACACTATTATATTATTGTTGTACACTTTTATTATAATTTTTTTAAATATTTCTTTATTGGTTATGACAGTTTTTGTATTCTTTTCATTACTATTATTATTATGTCACTTTTTCAATTACTATCATTATGTTTGCAAAATGTATATATTTATAAATGTATATAAATTCTCAATTTTAGACATATGTACGCATATGTATGTGTTGTATGTAAATGTATTTATATATGTTTATATATATGTATATATGTATGTATATATGTATGTATAGATATATATTTATATATTTGGAATTTGATTTGGTAATTGTGTGGCACGTTATATCAACTGTTTTTTTTTTATTATATTTTCTTATTGTTGTTTATTTGTATCAATGTGCTGCAAAAATGTTTGATTCTCAACATCATTTTAGTTTTTAGCTTATTATCAGTTTCTGCCCTATTACTTGTTATTAACGAGTCGGTGTTTTTCTTGGTAGCTGCCGCCGTCGTGAGCTAAGCACGCACGCGATTCAATTGTAGCCAGACAACTGACAAGCGGCAACAGATCCACATCCCCAAGTCTCCCAAGCCCATTGACCAACTGAGTATTGCTGACATTCAGCAACAATAACAATAAGCATCAAGCAACTTGCGCATGCGAAATCGAAGCAACAATTTCTCGATGAGTGCACACTGGAACCGTAGAGAGAGTGAGAGTGTGGGAAAAGAGAGAACACAGCCCACGTCAGAGAGGGAGAGCCAAACTTTGTGCATAAATGTCATAGTGCGAGCGGGTAACGAGGCGTATGTGTAATCACGTAAATTGTTCAGCAGTAAAACGGCAACAAATGAAACTTTTTTAGAAATGACCTTGCATAGGGGCAAGACTTCATATTTTAAGTTTTTGTAAAGAGGGAAGAGAGAGCGAGAATGTACGATAGCGATGAACGATTGAATAATAGACTCATACAGACAGACATTTATAAAATATTTATAATTAACTGACAAAGCATATATAATAGGAGAACACAAACTATCGCATAGAAATGTATTTAAAATAAAATATCGACACACATGCATGAGTTGTATTTCTATACTAATTCACGAAAGTGAAATGAGTATATTGGTTTTTTTTAAAACCTGCTTGCATATCAGCCAACCAAACATATCTTCGTCCCACTAATAATAACATACATTTTTCGAGCTTTTCGTTCGTTATTATACATATAATGATATAGGTTACCTTTGCTCAATTTTAAGTGTTGCTCCGCATTTATTTAACAGTTATAATTAAATCAAATCAAGATAAACTTTTATCGACAACATAGAAAACAGTATCTATTCATATTTTAAAGCTGTTTATATTACAGACGATGCCTATTAAGTTTGTCCCTTTTGCAAAATGCTAGAATTTCTAATATATTATTGAGATAGACCAGAGAGGCAGACTTTGCACTTGCAACACCAGCAAAAGCAGCAAAAATATTGGAAAAAGGTTGTTTACTAAGCCTCTAAGTCTGTGGAAAGTACAGTAAATCAAAATTGTTCTTAGCCATTAGAAGGTAGTATGCGCTTTACAAAGCATTCAAATCACTCTTAGCACATAACCCGTTCTTTTCCAGTTCTCTAAACAGTTTCATGCCATTGCATTTAATAGGGGAGGAGGAAACCTAGCCAATGACAATAGCTAGACAGGAAATTGAGTCGAAAGCAAACCTTACCTCCTCAACAGTATCGCATTCGAATAGATAGATGTGCAGCAGCGGGTCCTTCGGATCCTTTAGTAAGTAGACGAACCCGGTGATGGGTCCCTGGAAATCCATAAAGTTCTGCGGCTCTGCATCTGCCGCTTGCAGCAGCTGCTGTTGCTGTTGCTGTTGCTGTTGCTGCAGCTGATAAGACGACGAGAGTGAACCATAGGAAGTTGACGTGGTTAACGATGTACGCGAACTATTTGCGACCGATGAGCCAGCAGCAACAGCTGACATGCTTCCAACTGAAGCTCCACAGTTGGCAGCTGGAGCCTGATTAGTATTTGACTTGAGCTGTACGAAACCATTTCCGATGTTCTTCACCTGCGGCTTGTGAATGATGCGACACATGCCAACGATATGCTTTAGCGGATGGCTAAATTGTAACTCAAAATCAGAGTTGTATGATTCCAGTATGCCATGCTCAATGCCAACTGACAGCTGCAAAGAAATTATATTAAGTATTAGAGAAACTGTGCACAAACTTAATGAGTATATAAATTATATTTAAGGTTTGCTCAAGGAAAACTTATTATTTACTATATTGACAGTTTCCAGTGTTGTTATTGCCAACATTTGTCGAAGAAGCTTCAAATAGACTAATAGAGAGGGCTCTAATATTATTTACCTTGGAAACATTAAATATACATATATCATATTTATCAATGATAATGATACTACAAGTCTCCAACAGTAGAACTAAAAAAAAAAAAAAAAAAATAGACATCGTACCAAATTTCATATCTTTACTAAACTGTAATACATAAGATTAAATTTTAATCAATAAATCTCAAGTTTTAAGTAAAATTTTTGTGAAATGTGTTGCAAAAATATTATTACATTGTTAAATGAAGCCGTCACTCTATCAAAGGCAAAACCAACAAATAAGGAAGCTCAAGTCGAGACTGCTCGACTTCGAAATATCCTGAACCCTTCTAAGAGTTAATATTTCAATAATTATTCGCGTCTTTCTGCTTACACAAGAAACACACACACTGACACACATAGGCATGCACGCATAAACACGCATCGACTGCAGTGTGGGCTTACTATGGCTACTTAATTCTTTAATAACTTTTCTTGTCGATGGGCTGTCTCCATAAAACTTGTAGATCATAATCATAACATTGAAATGCGTGCATGTAGCAAACCACAAGTCTCTAGTATTTGAAATACGCCTTTTATAAATGTGTGGGTAAGGGGTGGATATAGGGGTGGGGGTTAAATTACAGCAAAAATCGAAATTATGGAGACTGTAGCTCTAAAGATGTAGGAGTTACAATTAAATATCTAGTTTTTGATATAGTTTTAATCGATAATAAAATATCGGGAGTAGTTATCGATTTTGGGAGAAAAACTCGATATGCGCGTGATATACGCAGACCTAGGAGAAAAAATTCAAGTCTCTAGCTCTTATATCTTCTGAGATCGAAGCGTTCATGCATACGGACGGACGGACGGACGGACGGACAGAGCTAAATCGACTCAGCTCGTCGCCCTGATCAAGAATATATGTATATACTTTGTGGGGTCTGCCACGCCTCCTTCTGCCCGTTACATACTTTTCACAAAACCATTATAACCTGAGTTCTCATTTTCAATGGGTTCAGGGTATAAAGAGTAGGAGCCGACAATAACAAAAATATAATGGACATATGCGGCGCATGTTGATGTTGATGACGACGAGGACACCGGAAATGGAGCAGCCAAGCCACGCCATCTTGTCGAGTTGCTTGCTTGCTTGTCTATCTAATGTCAACCCTGTTTGTCGGTCTGCGTGCTTTGGCTGTCCCTATTGCTCAGTTGCCAGTGAGCGAATCGCTTTTATGCTTGTGCATGCAAGTAAACTGATTAAAGGAATTTAATACTGTTAATGTGCTTCGTCTAGTGGAAATGCAGCCATTGCCATGGGAAGCAGTTACTGTTCTCTATCTGAATTGTCGTTGCTAGCACCAGAGGCTTAAATGCCTTTCATTTAATACTAATTTAAATGGTTTTAGCTTGCCATAAATAATTTTTATACCCTGAACCCATTGAAAATGGAAAATCAGGGTATAATGGTTTTGTTAAATGTATGTAACAGGTAGAAGGAAGCGTGGCAGACCCCACAAAGTATATATATTCTTGATCAGGGCGACGAGCTAAGTCGGTAGCCCTGTCCGACTGTCTATCCGTCTGTCCGTATGTATGAACGAGTTTGTTTTAAAAGATATAGGAGCTAGAGACTTCAATTTTTAAATGTCCGTATATACAGCGGTAATATCGAGTTTATCTTCAAAAATCGATAAATCATCCCGTTATTATTTTATCGATAAAAACCTTATTGAAAATCAGTTATAAAAGTATATCTCCTATATCTTTAAAGCTAGAGTCTCCAAATTTTAACTGTATACTTACATGCATTTTATACAATTTCGGTTTTTAAAATTTACCCTCACCCCTTTATTCACCTTTGTTAAAGGCGTATTTCAAATACTAGAGGCTTGTGCTTTGGTAAATGCATGCATATTAATGTTATAATCATAATCTAAAAGATCCATGAAAATCGTTCATCGACAAAAAAAGTTATTAGGGAATTAAATTCCCATAGTAAGCCACCACTGCAGCCAATGCGTGTTTATGCATGCGTGCGTAGTGCAGAGTGATTAGAATATGAGATTGGAGGGTTCAGGGTATCCCCTAGTCGAGCAGTCTCGACTAGAGTCTTCTTACTTGTTCTAATATATATTTACTATGAATATAGATTTTTGCCTTAGGTGGCTGCCGGGCGACGGGATAATCATTGGAGACTCGAGAAGTAAAATATATAATGGCAAAGCGGCAGCAAAAACACTTTTTATTGCAGCACAGGTTAATTCTTAATTTCTTTCCTAATCTCAATTAATTTTCGATTGCCAGTTGATGCTGGAAATTCACTTAGCACGGTAATGAAGAGCAATAAAGACAAAGAGAAAATAGTTGAATTAGGATAGCTGTACACCGTTTTTGCTTTTGACATTGACGCGATGAATTCAATTATGCGTCGGCTGGATGGAAACTGGAAACTTCTTTGTGTAATGCAATTAGTGAACAAAACAATTGTGGATTTTTCATTATAGTACAAAGATTGAAAGCGTTAGATTGGGATGAAGGGAATCTCGATTATCAAACAGCAAATCAGTTTTATTTTATTAACATGTTTAAAAAATATACGATTTACATCTTAGAAATTTCATTTTCATAATGGATTTATAAGTAATTTTGGCATTATGTGGATAGTCTAATAATGATAAGTTTTATCTTATCTTTTACAAGAGTATTCTAGCCTAAATATTTCCTATTTAAAGTTGTTGCCCTACTTCCAGTTTTATCTTAGCCCGTGCCCCGTTCAATACTTAATACTCGGTCCTAGAGCTAAAAGTTCCAAAAGTTAAAAGTTTTGTTGGTAAGTAACTCTCAAAAATACCATGAAGCAATTGCATAAAATATATATAAAATACGAAATGTGGTTTTCGACCATATTTTCAATAATGAACTATAATCTTTTTAAGATTGGTTATAAAGTTAGAGTTGTTTCGAAAGTCAAAACATTAAAGAATCTAATAAAAAATAATTCTAATACTTTTAAATCTCTAGCTCTTGTACATTCTGAGATCGACGTGTTCAAGCATACGGGCGGACAGAAGGATAGACATTTTCATAAAATCATTGTATCCTGATTTTCGAAAGGGTTCGGGGTATTTAACAATAAATAATTAAATACCAAGCAAAAAAATAAATAAAATAAAATATAAAACAATATATAATAAGTAAACAAGTAAGAAGACTCTAGTCGAGACTGCTCGACTAGGAGATACCCTGAACCCTATAATCTGATATTCTAATCACTCTGCACTTCTTTTCGGCACGTACATACACATCCACGTATTAGAACGCGCTCTGCTAACTGCGCAGTAAGCAGCGACTGCGCTTGTGCTGCGCTGCAGTGTGGGCAACATTATAGGGATTTATTTGTTGAATATTTTAATTTCTAGACGTACAATCTTAATGAAACTTTCAGAACAGAATCATAATATTCAAATGTATGTACATTCCAAAGCAAAAGTCTCTAGTACTTGAAATACGCCTTTTACAAAGGTGAGGGTGAGGGGGTGGATATAAGGGTGGGGGGTAAATTACAACAAAAATCGAAATTATATAAAATGCATATAAGTCTACATATAAAATTTGGAAGCTCTAGCTCTAAAGGTGTAAGAGGTTTAATTAAATAACTAGCTTTCGATAAGGTTTTTAATCGATAATAAAATATCGGGAGTAGTTATCGATATAAAAAGAAAAACTTGATATGCGCGTGATATACACAGACCTGGGGAAAAAAATTCAAGTCTCTAGCTCTTATATCTTCTGAGATCGCCGCGTTCATACATACGGACGGACGGACGGACAGACAGACGGACAGGGCCAAATCGACGCCCTGATCAAGAATATATATACTTTGTGGGGTCTGCCACGCCTTCTTCTGTCTGTTACATACTTTTAACAAAACCATTATACCCTGGTTTCCCATTTTCAATGGGTTCAGGGTATAAAAACAAGTAAGACAGTTCTAGTCGGGGCTGCTCGACTACGAGATCTCCTGAATCCTTCAAGGAAATAATATTTCAATAATTCTATTTCTACAAAAGAAATAGCCCTTGCACATGCCCACACAAACATAGGCACGCATGCATAAGCACGCCTGGGTACGGTATGGAATTCTATGAGAATTTAATTGGTTAACAACTTTTCTTATCGATGGATTATCTTCATAAATTTGTAATTATTTGTAATTTAAATAAAAATTGAAATTTTATAAAATATACGCGTTAACTATTTTTCAAACTTTTAAACTCTAGGTCTAAAGTAGGAGGCATAATTTTAAAATTGGGTTTCAATACGGCATTTAATCGATAACAAATAAAATAGTTATGGACTTTAAAAAAATCGATATGCGTGTGATCTTCACGGACCAATGAAAAAAAATTTTAAAAAATCGACGCGTTCATACATACGCACGGACGGAGAGACTGACATATGTAGAAGGCTAAGTCAACTCAGTTCGACCTGATCAAGATATATGTATACTTTATGGCGCCTGCCACGTCTTCTATTACATACATTTAACAAAACCATTATACCCTGATTTTCCATTTTCAATGTTCAATATTCTACTGCATAGCTCAAAAGTTTTTCGGTCTGTGGGAAATAACTGTGCATTATATACAATAACTTATTTAACAACGTCAGTAGGGTCCGACTGCAACGTTTTTTCTTATATTAACATATCGATAATTAAAATTGAAAAACTAACAAAGAATATGTATATGGTATGAAGAGTAACAATTTGTATTAACTCTGTCGCGTCTAATATTCTGTTTACATTATAATTATTACAATTTAACATTGTATATAAAATCCATATGTATATACATATAAATCCAAGATCAGAAGGCCACAGTCACACCACCTCCAGCGGAAATACAATACAAAATACTCAGAGCACGCATACTCTGCGGTGTCCTCACTAAAGAGAGTGATCCGCTGGGAGACTCGCTGACGAAGGTGAAGTGTGAAACCATTTAGGGGCTAAGTAGATGGACTGGGAGACCAGTGAAAGGGAACAGAGAGGTCAGTGCTACAACACAAAAGCGGATTAACAAGACAGCTTTAGTGACTTCAGCCGCGCACTGGTAAACATCAAAAAAGAAAAGGCGGTAAATGAAAAATAAAATTTAGAATATATTTTGCAGGCAAATGCAAAAATAGCGCATTGATTTTTTGCAAGCCCAAAGTAAGTTCCCGCTGTCGGGGCTCAAAGGAAAGGTCGGCCGCAAAGCAATTCGAAACACGCTTTAGGGTAAGAAAGAGGTTGTCTAAAAGGTGTCGCATACCTTTTAACATCATCTAAAAATTGTGGAATTTGATAAAGTTAAGGTAAATCAGATTTATTATAGTTAGCCAGTTCAAATAATTCTTCTATAATTTATCAACCATAAATTGTTAGCCAATTTGGAAGGTAAATATTTATGAAAAATTAATAACCGCTTTTTCCACGCCCTCACAAACAGTATTTGTGTATATTCTTAGTGACAGTGGAAGCATAGATACACAAATATGTATATACATGAATAATAAACAAAAGAGCAAGCTTTAGTAAATATTTATACAAGAAAATATGCATCAAATTAATACATGGTCTGATCCGGGTCTGTAGAGTGTGGTCTACCAAGTACAAGGACAAGAAATAAAAGAGCGAAGAGCGAAAGTTAGATAGAGAAAGAAAGAGAGAGAGAGAGATAGAAATGTAGTGAACAAAAGATAGAGAGTGAAACAGCGAAAGAGAGAGAGTTGATTGTGAGTGCTGCGCATTCATAATTTTATGGCATTATACATATACTTAAAATTTGGCAAATTGGTTTTGTACACATTAAAGAATTTAATTTTTCGTGAACATTTTTATACCCTCAACTCATTGAAAATAGGAAATTGGGTTTGTTGAAATTTATGTAACAGGCAGAAGGACGCGTGGGAGAGCTACAGACTTGATTTTTTTAAATGTCCGTATATATAGCGCGCATATCGATAACTCATTCCGTTATTTCGTTATCGTTATTTCCTTATCTAAAATCATTTTTAAAATTATATCTCCTACGTCCAAATTTTTATACTCATTCACGAAAGTGAATTAGTATATTGGTTTTGTGCAATGTCCGTCCGTCTGTCCGGCCGTCCGTCTGTCCGTATGAACGCAGTTTATTTCGGGGCTATTGAAGCTAGAGACTTGAAATTTACATTTATATTTCCGATTTATAAAGTGTTAAAATATTTTTAAAATGCATTTTCCGAAATGCCAGAAATCATATTAGTTGAAAAGCTAGAAAGCTGGGGGCGTGAAAAATCGGATAACACTATCTCCAAGAGTTTTACAGCTAGAACGCTGAAATTTTGCACGTAAGCTAATGCTATGATTCTATAAAGTCTAATAAAATATAAAATTATATGTCTACGCTCATTCAGGGCGTGGCAAATCGAACCTGAAGATATAGTGATTTTTTAAATTCTCCTATATTTTGGACACTATTGATGCGAGAGACCTCAAATTTTGTATATATACTCAGGCTGACCACCCAAGACCAAAAAGCTTTGTCGGAAATATGTCCGCCCAAAGGAGGCGTGGCAGACCGCAAAAGTTTATATCTCCTAAGTATAATAGCTAGAAGCATCAAATTTGGATAGTCAAATTATTAGTAACCTCCTCTGTCGATGACTCAAAAATAATTTCTACGCCTCTTTAGGGGCTTGGCATATCGAAAAATACCATGTAATTTTCACATTTTTTTAGCGTAAGCATTCTAATTCTGCATTTAGGGTACCGTTAGCTCGTTCTAAAAACTGACCAAAAATGAGGTGTCTACGCCAAATAGAGGCGTGACAAATCAGGAAAACTGAATTTTCTACAGTATTAGAGCGAAACTAAGCTACTAAATTGCTGATGGGATGTGAATGAGTATTCCGTAGTCGGTAACGCCCGACGTCAACGTTCTTACTTGTTAATATAGATTCAAATGAATTTTATACAATATAGATTTTCGTTACATTTTGGGAACCGTCACCAAATTCACAAAGGAAGGTTAGATGCCAGTATGGCTAATTGGGAATGATATGGCGTTGTTTGAAATATGTCAAATATTCAATAGAATATGTAGAACATAAGCTGAAAGTTTCACAAAATTATTATAAATGTAGCATAGGACTATCGTAGGTGTGCATGTCGCGAACAGTTTTCAATTTTTTTGCGTAATTGCTTGTGCGCTCAAAGAGGGAGAAAGCATAAGCAGACAGAAAGAGTAAGTGAGATAGAGAGGAACGCAGAAATAGCGCATAGCATATAAAAATGTGATCTGTATGTTTGAGCGCTCACACTGATTAGGTCGTGCTTTATTTTCTCTGGTCAAGTCACAAGCGACCGAGCCGAGCAAATACAAAGATGAAAATGCATGCAAATTTTGAGTAACTTGACGCTTTGGCATCTTTTTCATTCCGTTTTTAGGTTTCATTTTAAGCTATCAAGCCTTGAGCGCACTTCAATGTAAAATCACTCAAGACGTTTTTTGCCTATAATTCACTCATTCACAATTGAGAGCCCTCCATTTTCGTTACTGTTTTTTTTACTTTTGTAAAAAAATTATTATTAAATGCCTATTGTATTAATTAAAATAGCAGATACAGCTTTGGTGTAAATATTTTACTATAAATACTTTACAATATATATAAATTTAAATTTTAAACCGTACTAAATCTCCTTTTTTTTTATTAGTTTAGTTCAGGGTAGTATCTAGTCGAGCACTTTCATTTAGAGTTTCCTTACTTGTTAATTTGATCTTAGGATCTTAGGCCCCGTCAATGATAATAGAGGGACGTGTGGATCTTTCCGTCCTGATTAGGCATATATACCTCCCGTTCTGATTGCCTACTACATACATTTTCATGATATTCCTGTTTAGGTATATACCTTTAAAGCAACTCTTTCTGCATAAAGCATACATTTTAAGAAATACGTTATAGCCCGATTTCATATTTTTTCAGTATAAAATCGGGTGACATTTCCGGAACTTGCTCCTCGTATAATTCTGCTTGTTTTAAGTTTAGATATATTATTAAATTAACAATATTTCTGTATGAATATAAGACTGTGCACGTGCACAAAAATATCAATAATATTTAATTTTGACAAAGCTAATTAAGACGTTACTTTAAAACGAAGCCACAGAATTAAGCAAAAGGATGAGATAAAAAGTTAGTAATTCGAAGAAAATTGAACTCCAAGCTATCCTATATGGCATATACCCAATATATATACTCTATATACCCCGGCTCTAGAGCCTACTGCTCGGTCGATGGTGGCTGAAAGCATGCGAAAAGGATTCATTTTCATATTCTGATAAGCAACCTGAAAATGAAGCATATAACTAAAACGTAAGTAAGCTTAGATAAATAAGGCGAGAGCAATGGTAAAATCCTCTAAGACAGGTGTACCGAGACTTCCACACAACTTTAGGCCAACCTTCTCTGTCAGCAATTCATTGGCATCTGTAGGTAATTCAATTATGCGAAGCTTTTCACTGGAAAGGACTTTAGCAGACACTAGAACAACCCTGGAGTATCGTTAGCCAACACACTCAAACACACACGTACACTTGCACACATATGCCACTGATGGGGGACTAATTGCGAGCTGTGCTAAAATTAAATAAATTAAATACCTAGCTTGAAATAATATTAGCCATGGGACACCGAGGTGAGGCTGAAATAGCGCATTCTTTTTGGCATGAGGGGAACAGTGTTTGGCAACACAGAACAATGGACACCTCGACGATTAGCGTGAATATAGAATTCAGCGGCGTTGCTCACGACCGACCCTTGGAAATGGTCCATGTATATTATTTTATTATTTATTTTTAGCAATAAAGTTGTTCGTTTAATTAGCCACGATGCTATGATTTTCACCATCCTGGACGGGGGATCTAACTTTAGGGAGCAACAGCGGCTGATAATCAGTGTGATGGGACACAACATTTTTAATAATAAATTTAATGCGGGTGCTCGCTGCTTGCGGGGCTATAAGGCTACCAGGCTGACAAGCTGGCTGCCTATGAGGCTGCTTTAATTGATTTATTGAGCCGTAATAAATGCAAATTGCTTTTAATTGTCTGGCGCAAAAAGAGTTTTGTATATCGCCATGGATCACCAACAGCAATTGGATTAAGACGGCATTGCTTGGAGCATTGACGAGCAACAGCCCGAATGACAACATATTTCAGAATGTTGAGTCAAATGACAACCGTGTGCTGTAAACGCACCGCCAAATGAGACAGACTCAATAATTCCGTTAAGAAAAAAATGGCTATAAAATGAAGCACATAAGCAGGTACAAAATCCCTGGATAATGGTTAATATAAATATGATTGGAATTACAAGATAAAAATAAGGCTATTGAAGAAGGCCTTCTTGGCTCCATGCTTTAGTAGCTCACCTTTGTGTAACTCTCTGTGGATCGAATATCGTTTATGGTCCATGGCAACATCGAAGCAGAATAGCGCGGATCGACGGACGCACTACCCCGATATGTCAACGTAACGAGTCGAGTTTTCATCTTAAGGAGTTTGTTTATTTATTAAGCTCGACTATACTGCTTGGGTATACTTTTGATAATTTTCAATATTGACGTTAAAATTAAATGCAGCACAATTTGCATTGTAAATTACATTTCCATAAATTTTGTTCGGTCTTTATGTATTTCTTAACTTTTCATTATTTCGCGTTGGGTTCTGATGTTTGTTTTACGGTCTATAAATGTTTTTTAACCGTTTGAGAAATAATTAGATAAAAGAGCACTGAAATTTAAATTAAATAAGTCAGAGTATCTCACTCGAATGCCATCTTCTGCATAATACCCTCTCACAGTATTAGCATTTTCTGAATTGTGAATCTGTTTATGCTAGAGCTTTAAAATATTGGAGCATTCCGGTCGTTCGATTTTCCACGCCCCCAACTACACATTTATATGTATGCGAATTTTGATAAATCAATAGTAGAGATCAGATGTATATTATTCGTTCATATTCGAGTTGCGGGGGGATATCGATGAGAAATATTCTATCAATCGTTAGAGAGACAGTACAACTCAACTATCGAATTTCGTAGCTCTAAGACATTAGAAAATATAATAGATAACACTTTAGTAGTCAAAATATTAGATAATTTATATGACTATTATGTGATTTATTTCAAATCACAATCCTCTATCATTTATAAAGAAGAGCGTTTACGTTGTCCCATAAATAGAATTTTACGCTTTGCCACACCTCTACAGTGCGTATCGGGAAAATATTAGTGGGTAACAACGAGTATATATTCAAAATCGCTGTCCCTAACTTCAATAGCGCCGAAATCGCTTGTGGCTATTTGGTTAGCACATCAATAATATACAACATCACTTCGTGAGGGATCATATTAAAAATTTGTGACATAGCAAATTCTACCATTTGTATATTCGTATTGATGACGCAGAAAGTGCGGCTCATCAGCAGGAAAGATTACTTCTCTATTGATTTTTCGGCGCGATACCCTGGATAACAAAAATTTTCAGCGGGTATCATAACTTATTAAAATGCAACTGTGTGTTCGAGCTCAATTCGAATTGTTATCTTTGAAGACAGTGTACGTTAGAGTTGGTCAGTTATTATTATTATTACTTGTTTTCAGTTCACTTTGTTCTCTAGTTAATTAAAATAACTCGTTAAATTGTACTTTTACTGATAAGTATTCCAGCAGGCATGACATAGTTACGAAGAACGTATAGTTTATAAGGAGAGTCAATAGTCAGTAGTCAATATTTATATAATTTTATAATTGCATATTACTTAATCTATATGCATATATAATCTATTAAAAAGTTGATTTTGTTCCAGTTTCAGAGGGTATATAAGCTTAGACATCTTCTTCCGTTTTTTATTCGCAGAAGCAAAGTAAAAACTGAGCATTGCTGCTTCTTAGCTTTTTTTACATTTTTTTTTTTTGCACTGCTAGAAATAGGAATGTGTAAGACAGAGCTCAGGAGCCACCACCATAAGTGCCAGAGTGCAGAGGCAGGGGAGAAGCCAGCACTAAACATAGTCACCCCTAAAAATACGCTCGATGGCAATGTTGGAATTTACTTTTGTATAAACATTTATATTTTACTTTGCTATGGTTTCACAGTGTGCTTTTTAAGTTTACTTCTACCTCGACACAGAAATGCATACGATGCACACATATGTACATACACACACGTAAACAGGTACACCACGACGACGCGTTTGTTGGTTGCGAAGAAAAATTATATATCTAACCGATTGAAGACGTATTCGCCAAATCACTGTGAAGTAACATAAAGCACTGAATAGCAAAAAGCACGAATTACGGCTCGAACGCTCCTGCTAGTCGGTATCGCACAATTTTTCTATGCCGATATAGCAGTCGTCCTACATCCTGTCCATTGGGCGCATGCGTTGAGATTTGTGTACGCCGTTGATGACTATATGAAAACACGGGCGCATGCCATTTCAATTTATAGTTTAATTCATTGCTGTTTTAATCAATTAAGCCTAAGTGAGCCACGAGTTAACAATTTTAATCGAAATAACATTTTCGCCCGCCAAACAAGCACAATCTAAATAAACAAAAATATACCATTCCAAAAATAGCGCACGATAAGAGTCCATCGACCGACCGCCACAATCTATCGGTTGCACAGCTGATTTCAAAACTCAATCCCATGTATTCGTAGAAACAGTGCTGAAAAGCAGCATACTAAACAGCTATCGATAGTTAGTGGCGTTAATTATTTAAATTAAATTAATTTTGATCAATATTTCATAAAGAACTTTAAGCAATAATGGCATATTATTTTTAGCAAGCTAAACACATCAATGCTGTGAGAAACAATGTACCCATGCCACAGTTGAATCGCTTATCAGCACTGCCGATTCGTCTTCTTCTTCCATTCATACTCGGCCAGTTTTGGTTTGTAAGCCAAGTTTAAGATTTAGTCTTTGCTGAAACGCGGTAAGCAACAGGTGTGGTACTATTACTATTCGATGTTAGCTTACAATCTGCGTGATTCGTGGGTACGGTGTGTATTATTTGATTAGGTGTGCGTGTAGAAGTAGAGACTTTCACTATGGCTCAGCTCCCAAAGGCAGTCAACAGACAGCTGTAACTAATTCCAACATTAATGAATGCACTTCGTACGCATTGTCGTTATTTCATAGCTATTCGTGTTGAAGCCGCTTGTGAGTTGTTTTTTTTACTGCTCTGACGGCTCTCCGGTTGCTCCGTTCGCTTCGCGTTTTTCGCTATTAGTATGTTTTTTAATATTTCAATTTATATTTCGTGATTTCTCACCAACAAACATAATGAGCCGTCTCTTGCTTTTAAACTGAGAGTGTGCGTGTGCGAAAAAGGGCTATAAAAAACATGGAATATGATTCAACAATAATAAAGAAAAAATGTAGACTTGTCAGCGACGGTTTTAAAAAGTGCCGTTAGTGTGCGAATGGAGTATTTAAAATTAATTTAAATAATGAGGAATTCGCTCATAATTGATTTAAGTAGCGCAACAGAAAACAGCACCAGCAACATCAGCAGTAGCATTTGCATAATTTTCCGCACATACACAACCATGTAAATTTGCTGTGCTTTAGTTGCCATTTACAGTGGAAGCAACAAGTGGTATTTGTGGCTGTTGTTGTTGCTACACAGACACAGTTGCATGGTTCATCGTGTACTTAAATGGCCAAGTTAGAATCCACATTCCACAAAGAGAACAAGAACAACACAATGCATCAAGTAGGAAGTGGCAACGGCAATCGACCGCAGCATCAAGAACAACAACAAAATCTATTAGTTTGCTAGCAAATTTCAAAATAATTGCACATTCTAGACAATTTAGCTAAGGCACGAAGAAGTGGAAAACTGCAATGATGTGCATTATTTGTAATTTGAGAAAACTCACACCAAAACACACTCACTCACTAATACAGTCAAACAGATAGACTGAAAGAGAGGGACAGATTGCGAGACAGTGGTGAACAGGTAGGGGCCGCGCGCGCAGCTAGCGCCGACTACGTCTGCGTGCAGTCTTTCATGCATTGAATCTCACACAGACACAGCACACAAGCACTGCAACCATTCATTTGAATTCTACGTTAGGCTTTGTTGACATGACTTTTTTTTTCTTGATGTTGGCCCCCACATCCACATGTTAATATATACATATATGCATATGTGTGTGTGTGTGCTTATTGAACTAGTTAAATCTATAACCGCTCTGGCCTTAATTATCATAACAATAGGCAAAAAGAAGACGAGTACTCACACACACATGCACACATAGAGACACAAATAACCCGCAGCACCAAACTCTAACATTTTCAGCGGAAAAGAAGAAGAGTGCGGTAGAATGAGACTCAAACGCGAAATGGTCACAACATAATTAGAACGAGCGAAAGGCAACAAAAGAACGCGCGCGAGTTCAAATGTTGCACAGTGGATTTCACAGCACAAATAACTAAAATAAAAATGAAGATAAAATAAAATAAAGTTGAATAGTTATGATTGGTTAATGGCTATGTCTAAAATAGAAAATGGAAGGGAAGGAAAAAGTAGAAATCTAAAAGTTATTTAACTATTGGAAACGAATTCTGTAGCTCAAAAGAAAATAATAAAACTCGTTATAAATATTTATAGTTCTAAACTGTCTTTGCTTTTTAAGGCATTGTGAAAGCATTTCATTTTATGAGCTTCGATGGCGTGAAATGGACTAGTTAGGTAATTGATAGTCTTGTATTAGCATAAAAATTTTGCAAAATTTTTTAAATTATAAATGCAAACTGGTGATGTATTCCCATTGTCGCCAAAGCAACATATGCTAATCCCATCTACCCTTTGATCTCCACTGTTAATTCAAAAGAATTCGTAAGCACGCTTTAGTGTCATTCGCATACACACAAGAAACGAATACCACACGAAACCCATATGCATGCTTGGCCTTACCTCTGATCTTGCCATAGTCCCAATTCCAATGGCAGCAACAATTGTGCGACGAGGCGCGCTGTGATGCGTGAGCTATGAGTTGTGAGCTGTGGGGTGTCGTGATAGCACCTGCTGTAGAGGTAACCGGCTCACGTAGCCGCTTATTAAAAGCCGAACAGGAAGAGGTAAAAAGACCAAAAATTGAAAAATTAAAAAAGAAACTAATCATAGATAAACTCACAAACCGGTTACTGTGGAAACGAAAGAAAAACTTATGCTTGCTTACGGTCTATGCGTTTATTTTCGTGATGATTGTGTTTTGTTTTCCACAGTTTCTGTTTCCAGTGAGCATTCGATTTTGTATAAAATCAATGCGTAGAAAGTGAATTACAGCTGCGTCGATAATACGCAAAAAGCCATACCAAGCGAAAACTGAAAATCGGAGTCGCCAAAAAAGCCCAACTCGCTGCTTTTGCACCCCGCGCTGCCATTAGCCAACCCAGCAGCAGTCAACAGTCGGGTTCGTGCGCCTGCTGGACACGAAGCTCTTCGTGTGGCCGCCGATGCGTCTGTTAATTCAAACGGCAACGGCAACGAGAGGCGCTGCAGCAGCTGGTCTGCAGTCCCATTCGCAGTCCCAATATAATTACTGCAGCATGCGTGAGGACGACATCGAGCTGGCCATTAAGGTGGTAAGTTATCCAACACTGACAAAGACACAGAAACACGCATACCTACAAGAGAGCAATCAACCGATTCCCGCTAACAGCTACAAGTACTGAATAAATCCCTGTCCAGTCAGCTGCATGCGAGTGACAAACTGCGATACACCTAGAGAACAGATGCAGACCATACTAATTTAATAGAACACATACATGTACATATACGAGTACAATAGAGTATTTCCTTAAATAAACAAAACCAACTTTTTAAAATGCGGCGGCGATCGACTACGAGGTACCCTGGATCGTTTTTGAATTGCGCATATTGTAACTAATACATACAACATAATAATAACAATTTCTTGTAAAGTTTGAATAAAAAATTAGTAGCTGATGAATAATTCTAGCCAGATTTTATTTGAGGCATTCAACATAATTTACCGAAATATGAATATTGTATATAAATTAATATAATTTTCCATATTTATTCAAATTATGATGACAGTATATGTCGAAACTTTCATTTAAAAATGCATATACCTATTTTTGGTAATCGTCTGAATTTGTTTTATTTTAACCATAATATTGCAAAGAGAATATTTTTAGAGATCAGTATTTAGAACGAAAAGGAGGAGGTATACAGACAAGCTACAAAATACAGAAGAATACAGTTCATCATTTGTCTTTCAGTCCAACAATATAGTGTCAAGTATATAATTGTTTATTGCATATTTCGTCTCCAATCATAGAAGTATAAAAAGTAAATAAATGCGTATCTAAGAACTGATATTGGTATAAGAATACCAACAAATATTTAGATAGTGTCGAGTTAATTTGTATTAGTATAACAATTATTTTAAAATATATTCGTATACTAACTTGAAGATTCAGAAGCCTAAAGCTTAGTTTGTAAAATAATTTATGTAATCTCAAACGATCTTACATAGATATATTTTCGATATAGTAAAATATATTATTTCAATAATATAATATCTCAATAAATTAAAGCTGGTCAATTGATTGCCTGTTGTAATTGCTCCTTAATTACACACACGAATTAGAAATCACACACATTATAGTTAATTATTTTATTTAAAGCATAGATTTTATAAAAAAAAATATATTTTTACAGGTAATCGTTGGCAATGGGGGCGTAGGTAAATCTTCAATGATCCAGCGCTACTGCAAAGGCATCTTCACGAAGGACTACAAGAAGACGATTGGTGTTGATTTTCTAGAGCGTCAGATCGAGATAGATGGCGAGGACGTGCGCATCATGCTGTGGGACACAGCTGGACAAGAAGAGTTCGATTGCATAACCAAGGCTTATTACCGAGGTGCCCAAGCCTCAGTGCTGGTGTTTTCAACGACAGATCGTGCCTCCTTCGACGCAATCAAGGAATGGAAACGTAAAGTGGAAAACGAATGCAATGAAATACCAACAGTGATTGTCCAGAATAAAATCGATCTTATCGAGCAGGCAGTGGTGAGTGCGGATGAAGTTGAAACGCTGGCCAAAATGCTCAACTGTCGACTGATACGCACTTCCGTTAAGGAGGACATCAATGTGGCCTCTGTGTTCCGCTATCTGGCCACAAAGTGCCACCAGCTAATGACGCAGACCTACGACCAAGTATATGGCAGTAACAACAGCACTCAGCAGGCGACGACGCATCCGCCCTACAGTAATGCGCCGACTATCAGCGCATTTAGCCCGACCTTCACTAAGTCAAGTAGCGGCACTATTGTCCTACGTCCTGCCAAAAAGAGCAGCGGATCGAGTGCGGCGCGAAAGCGCAAAATTGTGCTGAAGAAGTGTGGCATATTGTGAGGGGAATGCAGAGAGGGGCATCTATCTTTACAGCTGTTGGCAACTAATAACTAGAGCATATTTAACGCTTAATTATTTTAGTGCCCCCACAAAATCAAGTTGTAACCATGTGGCCAGCCAAGCGTTTGAAGTACAGTCATTCGCTAGTCGTGCCCAGACTCCGCAACAATCTCAGTTGTTGCATGATATGTGCAGTGGAGCAGAGGCAGGAGTTAAGGAGCAGAAGAGTGACTGGAGGAGGGGATGTGAACGAAATAATAAAATTACAGCCACGCAAATCATGCATTCTAACAAAAGAAAAACAAAACCACTTTTTCATTATGGCGCTTCTATATCCCATATTTCGTAGCAATATTTTCGATATTAGTCCTCTTTTGCAAATGTAAATTATATTTATTCTTCAGCATCAATTAAATGCGAACAAAATGTCTAGTATACAGACCATAGCACAAATTTTAGCCCTTTGCTCAATATAAATAGTATTATGCTAAATTTATCATTTATACAGCTTTGCTGCTCAAACTCCTAATTTGAATATTTACCAATTATCCAATGCTCCATTATAAACATACATATATTCAATTTTAGATATTCAGAAACTTTAATTTTGACTCCACATCAGTAGCTTGAGCAGTCGTCGTTTGTATATAACTTAAGGTTTATTTATTATGGGAATCTTTTTAAAAGTCATGTATACTAAATAAGTAACATTTAAATATTTGATATAGTTTTTTATTCACTTGAAAAAAATATATGGAAAAATTAATAAGAATAAAAATTTAGAGATCACATATGTATGATTTATTTGAACTAAACTTGGCTTAAAAACCGTAATTCACGAGTTGAACGAAAATTCTTGTGCTTCCCTGCGTAAGAAGTAGGCATTGACTATATATATATATATATGTGTGTAGACTCATTCATGTGAATCCCATGAGTAATTGATTTTGTTTTATGATGTAACTATAAATGTAACTCTTCAAATTGTCTGACAATATTTCCGAAGCACACTAGATGTCAAAACTCGCTTAATATTATATTATTATGCTATTGCATAACTCCCTATAACTAATAAATTATAATTTTTTAATAATTCATTTCTTTTCTTTTTTTTATTTATATTTAAGTTTTAGTTTTCTACCGTTTTTTATAAATGATAAAGGGTCCCCTTTTTTTGTTTTTTTTTTTTACTATAAGAAATCGTTTCAGTATTACTGATAAAAATACACTCAACCCATTAGTAATTGATTTTGTTTTATGATGCAACTATAAATGTAACAGGTTGATCCCATACTCAATATCTAGACATTAGTTGACTATATGAAAAAATATTTTATACGGTGTTCTAAAAGGGATGTGAATCGAAAATTTACTTTATTAAAACATTTCTAGGCCGTAAACACCTATTTCTTGATTGGCTGTAAACTATATGTGTACACCGCCACTGTCTATATTCTTGATCAAGGCGACGAACTGAGTCGATATAGCCCTGTCCGTCCCTCCGTCCGTATGAACGCCTAGATCTCAGAAGTTATAAGAGCTTGAGACTTTAAATTTTGCATTCATAGTCGTGTATACCAGACGTGGGCTTATCATATTTTTCCATAGCTCATCCGAATTCTTTATCATCAAGAATAATCGATAAATTGATTTTGTTGTTTTCAGCTTAATTTGAAAACTTTCAAACCTGGGGACGTATTTTATTTTATTTATTTATTTAGATTTACGGTGTATATACGTTTGGCGAATACAAATATTTTGTAAAATACAGATTTCGGATACCACGCCTATTTCGCCCATACTGTTCATACCGCGGCGCAGTCTAAGCGCAGTCGTTATTTGCTGCGCAGTTAGCAGAGTGCGTGCTTATACGTGCGAGTGGATGCATGTGTATGTAAGTGTGCAAAAAAGAAGCGCGGAATGATTAGAATGTCAGTTTCGACTAGAGCCTTGTTTTGGTTTTGGCTTTTTTTTTTAACAATTTGACCAATGGGGCAAAATCAATTTGGCAATATCTCCATCTGTTATGTCCTTTATTTAAAACTTCGCAAATTTCAATTTTAATATAGAATAACAATTGAGCATATTTTTTTACTTTTCCTTATAATGGCACCTAAGCTAAAAGAGACATCGGTAGCTTAGAGGAAAATTATCCTGCATTTGCACGATCAAGACAAATTTTATGCAGAAATTGGAAGGATAATGAAAAGAAGCCGATTTACTATTCGAAGCACCGTGCAGTGCTTCAAGGGAGCCCGCAACCTTCAAAAGCTCTAAACATACAAGTTGCCCAAAATTTTTGATCAACAATGAATGCAGGAAAATTGTTAGAAAGGTGCAAGTAAATCCCAAAACAGCAGATTGCTGCTGAGGCTAAAAATGAAATAATGAAGGATGAGCACCCGATTACAATACGCGGAGTACTGCCATTAACCATAGAACGTACATTATGGTTAGTTGTACTGCACAAGGCCGAATACAGAGCATCGCAGATGGTAATAAAAACAAGCGTTTGGACTATGCTAAAGAATATATTAGCCGTCTGATTACAGGTGTCAAGTGTTGTTCTGTGCTGAGTGAAAATTCAATATACATTTTTCGATCGGATGGGCGCCATCCGAATACTGCATTTTACAAATAAACAATACCAACGTAACTTTTTAGGCGCTATTGAAGCTAAATAGTTTATTTCTCCGAAAGTATAAGAGCTCGAAGCTTCAAATTTAGATGGTTAAGTTACTAGTAACCTCCACTATTGATGACCTATAAATAATAAAATAATAATTAGCATGAAGTTACAGTTCTATGAACTGACCAAAAATTAGGTGTCTACGTCCAATAGAGGCGTGGCAAATCGGGAATGTACATACATTTTAGCCATATAACGTTCTGAAAGTTTCATTAAGAGAAATTATTCAACTAATAAATTCTCATAATATTGCCCACACGTAGTGCAGCCCAAGCGCTGTCGCTACTAACTGCGCAGTTAGCAGAGTGCGGGCTTATGCGTGAGTGTGGATGCATACATATGTATGTATGTGTGCATAAAAGAAGTGCAGAATGATTAGAATATCAGCTTCGAGGGTTCAGGGTATCTCCTAGTCGAGCAGTCTCGACTGGAGCCTGCTTACTTGTTTCAACTGTAGAAGTTAAAGGTGTAATAAAGTCACTTAAAAACAAAAAATCACCTGGAATAGACAATATTCCTAATATTTGTTTTAAAAGTTTACCGACAAGTGCAGTTGATTTTATTACACTGCATTATAGTAATTGTTTAAAAATCAGTTCTTTTCCCCATGTATGGAAAACTGCCAAGAGAATTCCAATTGTAAACCCCCTAGTTCTCCGTTCAGCTATCGTCCGATTAACTTCCATTGTGGAAAATATTCGAACGCCTGATTAAGGTCAGGCTCACCTGGAAGCTAACAATATTCTACCACCAATACAATATGGATTCAGAGAGCTCTATAGCTGCGTCTTTCCTTTGGACAAATTGACCAACTGTCAAAGCCAAGCTCGATGAAAAGCAATCCGTTGGTTTGGTAGCCATGGATGTCGAAGCTGATTTTGACAATGTTTGTCATTATGGTCTTATCCACAAACTGAGAGCTTGCAACACTCCAGCTTACCAGGCCTATATATTTAAAAGTTTTCTGACCGATAGACATTTCTTTGTATATTTGAACGAAACTATGTCTGCCAAATAATCCATCTGCACAAGAGTCCCTCAAGGTTCTTCCCTCGGTCATATTCTATACAATATTTACACCTTTGACTTATTATGTTGCTTATATGCAACATAATAGACAAAATAAACAAAACAATCTATTATACTTCCAATGATAATGTACGGGACTGAAATATGGAACACATCGACATTAACACATTTGAGAAAACTCCAAGTTGCTGAAAAACAAACAAAATAAAATTTAAAAAAAAATGATCCTCAATCCACAATATCACAGAACCATATCTCCACATAAAATAGCGAATATTAAGACTCAAAAGCCAAATTCATTATGACAAAATCATATTTAACTCAAGATACGAGTTAATAGGGCCCCTGTCCTACTATTTCTAAATTGTAACGTCAAAATTCGCTTCCCATCTAGTTCCTAAGTTATTTATAAGTCGCAACTAAAGGTTTTTCATCCATTTTCCTTTACCATCTAAATATATCAAACAATGTTCAAATTAAATTCGATGTAAATATGATATAATGTGATATGCAGTTGAGAGCTGCACTGACATAAAATAAGTCTAAGCTCTTTATAAAGAAAAATAAGCTAGCTTTAAGCAAAATGTAATAATTTGGAAATAAAGCATGTATTGAAATTAATAATGAAGTACTATTCCTTTGAATATATAATACAAATCACACCAATGCATCTTATCGCCTATAATCGTGTATAAAAAATGGTTTAAGCAGTTAACATTTTTTCCCTTTTTATTTGATTTTTGCTTTTGCACGTTTTGTTGTTTATTACACATCTGTTATTGTTTACGTTTTCTTTCTTTAAATTTTAATCGTTTAAAGTAATATTAGCTTGTTTTTATTTTAAAATTTATTTTTCTATATACAGATTCATTTTCTTTAAATAAATCAATTTCATGTTTGTGTTTGTATTGTTTTGCAATGTTTAATAGCATTGTATTTTTATATTTTTGTTCTGTTCCTGTGTTGTTAATAATACAAAAAGAGCATATATTGGCTGCTTTGTACAATGTGAAATCAAAAGACGATCCGCGCTTAAGTTTTAAAAGGACTGTTTTACGCCTTTATAATCGATAAGGAAATAAATGATTAGATTTTGTGGGCGGGGCTTTGTGGTGGGACGTGTGTGTATGCTTGATAACGGGGAGTGGTTACGAAAATTTTTATAAAAAATATGTTATATATCATTTTTATTTTTGTTTAATTTTTTCTCTTTGTGAATTGTGAATTGCAAACAACTTCTTGGCACTAAAAAAGATAAAAAGGGAAACTTATATTGTTTTAAACTTGCTTTCCTTATTTATTTATTATTTTTTTTTTTTATCAAAGTTGTAATTTAATTCATTTGATTATTTGTATTTTTATTTAAAATAAAAATCGCACTTGTGTGTATGTGAGAGTCTTTATGAAGGACTGTTATCGAACTCATTTACAGCATTAATATAAGATCATATTATTAAAATGTATAGACTATATAAACAACTACAATAGAACTTTAGCCGGTAGTTTATTTTCGTTTACTTTAGCTTTTCCTTTTGCATTTTTGTCTTATGCAGAGTTTGTAAGTGTTAAATTATATAAGTATATATTTTTTATTTTTGTGTGCTGTATGTGTATTTAGTTGTCGGCTTTATTTGCTTAGGGTATTGGTTGTCTATTTAAATAGTAAGAGGTTTAGCCTACTTTAAGACATAAGAACGTCATACTCATATATATATACGTATGTATATATATATATATATCTTACACTATTCGGAAACGGACAAATCGGCGTCGTCCTTACCCTCCAGTGAACGGTACTCATCCGAATCTTCACTAATGTGGGCCGTGCCCGTTGTTGATGGCTCCACAGAGACAATAACTTCTGCAGACACAGCATCAACTGTTGTTGTTGTTGCTGCTGCTGTAACTGTGGCTGGGGGAACATATAAATTAACTGGTTCATCGGTCAGTTGGGTAGTATTTAAATCCGAATGCTGTGTGGCTACATGCTCCGACAGTGTTGTTTCCTTTGGATTTTCCTCACTCTGGTTTTGTTGGGTTGGGTGTTGTTGTGGTGTTAGAGAGTGTGTTAATAAATCAGCAGAGGCCAACAGTAGATCCAACTTTAGTTTTCTTGACGCCGTTGGCTGCTCTGTTATCACAGACTGTGCTTGAGTTGCCGTCGATGCTATTATTGCCGCTTCTGTTGATGTTGTTGCTGCTACTGTTGTTATTGCTGTTCCAGCTACTGTTGCTTCAGCAGCAGAAGTAGGAACCGCCAACAATTCATCCTCCTCGCTAACGCTAATGTATCGACAGCGCTCACTGAGCAAGGAGGCTGACTCATCTTCCTCCTCGTTTACGCTAGAGATGCTCACCGTCCGTTCTTTGAAGCTTTGATAAATGCTGCTGCCAGCAATATTCGCAGGGACGGGTACATCAATCACATCCCGCGATGTCGACGGTATTTGCGGTCGGCTAATGACGCCAACGGAAGCTGTGGCTGTTGAAGGGATAGAAAGGCAAAATTTTAATTAACTAAGTGTTCTCAAAAAGAACAAGAGCCAGTTAATTATAAAAAATTGACGATTGACTGATTAGATCACTACCGGACCTCTGCTTCTAATAAAAAGAGCACATGCCGAAATGTAACGCCATATATATATATATATATAAATCGAAAACCTCAATATTTCGTAAGAAACATGCTGGTCCCCTCGGCTATTCGAAGTTTTTCTGCCTACTCGGCGATGATGAATGTATTCAATATACAACATTTAATAGCTTCTGCTGCTCACTCACTCACTTCGTTTCTTTTCGGGTATATTTTTGTGCAGCCGAGAGAAACACGACTTCAGTCACTCACTCATTCTCATTTCGTTTTGTACAAGTATTCACTCAATTCAATGATGACTTTGTACATTTGAATGTGCTTTTTTTGCCATTCATGCAGACGTCTAATACATATTGGCTGCAGTGTGGGCTTACTATGGAAATTTAATTGTTTAATAACTTTTCTTGTGGATGTACTTTCTTCATCAAACTTTCAGATTATGATTATAACAGGAATATACATATATATATATATATATATATATATATATATATATTGCGATTTCCATTGCGATAAATATACTAAAAAATTGAATTTCTTTATCATCATCTTATCTGTAGTTTATCACATCCAATATTGAACAAATATTGGACTTCTCACTCACTTACATTCCAAACGGTCGTAACGGTGCGGATATCTTGAGGACACAGGTGCCAGCTTGATGCGATAAAACTTGGAGCCCTTGCTGACTCGATATCGATTCTCATCCTACAAACATATTAAACGATTAGTTTGAATTAACACAACCTACACGATTAACTTACCTTTCGCGCCTGGCAGTATTCCTTATCAACAACTCGCCCAATTGCGTAATATGGTAGCGGTATGTGATTGGGCTCTTCTTGGGCCGAAGGAACCGCGGTGGCGGCACCTAACGACAAAGGTTGCGCTGCCTGCGTCGTTGGCGCCGTCAGCTGTAGAGCAGGCAAACTACCCGCATGCACAAAGTACAGGGTTTGTGAGTCCTGCACTACCATAAACTGAGCATGTCGTATGCTCCAAATAACAAACACTAGATCACCCTTAGCGCAGCCCTCGAGAGTAATGTAGCGATGACTCGATGACGAGGAAACACTTGACTTCGAACGCGTCAACGTACCGCCAACGACTGCAACGCCCAACTCATAAGTGGAGCTGTAGATAAGGTAGTGAAAAATCAATAAACTCTTAAATAGCTTTCTTCGCTAGCCGGCCAGAGTTCGTAATTTAATAATCAGTTTATCAGTTATTAAAGATTTAAATAACGATATCGGTTGAATATAAGTAACAATCGGAGAATCAGTCAATAAATCAATTTTTCTGAGACTAAGAATCAACATATGATCTATTAAAAAATTAATCAATCAGACATTCACTAGTTTAATTAGCCATTCGGACAGTTCATCAATGCAATATTTATCATCTAGCCAGATAGAAAATTGTTGAACCAACCAAAGATCTAATATCTTTGAAATATTGATCAAACAATCAATAACTAACCTCCTCAATGCAGCTACACTGGACTCCATTTCGATGCGCTTGCTCTTCTCCAGGTTAAGCTCCTCCTCGAGACGACATTTATCGCGACTGAGATAGTCAATCTTCTCCTTCAGCCAGCTATTCCCATCCTCATTGGTAAGCATCTCGAGACGTGTCTTTAACTGGTAACTCTCCTCTGTCAGCAGACGGTTCTGCTCTCGTAAGATGTCCAACTGCCGCTCCTTGTCCTCTAATACATCTTTCAAAATAGACACATTGGCCATCACAGATTCTGAGTTTTGAGTTCGCAACTCTCGCTGCTGCCAAAGCGCGCGCTCCGCTTCGATAGCTTCACTAACGGCACGCTCCCTTTGAGCAATCAGATCTTGGCGCTGTTGCGCTAATAGCTGTTCTACATCCAGGCTGACGACGCTGGCACTGCTCGTCGGCCGCTCCAACTTCTCAAGGCTGCTGTCCGATGGTGAACGCTCCATCGAGGTCATCAGCTTGAATCGGCAGCGCAAAGATTCTAACTCCGTTTTGTGCTCGTGTATGAGCTGCTCGCGTGCCTGTGCCACAGCTCTCACTTTATCTTCTTCCGCCGATAACAGCTGCTGACGCATTTGCTCCAGCTCTTCCGCCTGCTTGCTTTCTTGCTGCTTCCACTTCATGGACAACAGCTGCCACTGTTCCTGCATCTGCGCCAGGCTCGACATCAGCTCATCTTGGTATCCACGCTCTAGTTCACTGCGAAGGCTACTCAAATTGGAGCGCGCCATTGCTAGACACTGTAACGCCAATTTGGACATAGCCTGCAGTGCATCTCGCAGCCGCTGTACACTGACGGCATTATCGTCTGTCAACGTGCTGGTGCTCAGCATCAGTCGCGGCTCTGTTGTGGTGCTACGCTCTATCTGCTCCACATGCAAGCTCGTTGAGGTGCTCACAGTTTGCTTACCTACTTCGGGAGCAAGCTCCAACTGCTCAGGCTGTTCATGAGCCATTTGCTCTGGTTGCATCAATTCGTGCCGCTGCACAAAGAACTGCAAAACAGGCTCCATATTCGGTAACTGCAGTTGATTGGCCAGATCGGGCAACTGCACTGATAAGAGCTCAATATCGGAGCGTCCCAGCTGCGGGAGACGCGTATCAAAGCTCAGCTCCGGATGGTCATTAGCAAAAGTGGGCGGCATATCGGCCATGCCCGGAAAAAGAATATTCAAAAAGTGGCCATCAAAACTCTGGTTGAACAGTCGCCGCCTTTGCAGCTCCTCACTATGAATGCGATCGAAATCCGCCGACAGTCGCGATGCCCACAGGCGGAACTCATCCGAGAAGATTTTGCGACGCACTACCTCCGTGACAGCCGCAACATAAGTGCTCGGCGCTCGATGGATCTGCTCAATAATGCTAAGATGACGTTCAGCACGGCGTAGGCAACGATGGTAGAAGAGCAAACGATTATCATATTCACTCATCGCATTTTCAATGTAGACTATGCGGCGCAGACGCGTATTCAGATTGCGACCAAGCTCCTCCTTAGAGTGGGCTATTAGGCGACTATATTCACGAATTTTAATGTGGTTATCGCGCATCACAAGCAGCTGAGAGCGATGTGAGAGGCATAGATCAGGCAACACCGAATTGTCGCGCAGATTGAGTGCACGCGACTCATTCTGTTGCAGAGCAGTCGCTTGCTCCCTCTGATCTTGGACAATCTTTTTAATCTTATACTTAAACTCGTCGAGCCGATACAGCCGATCACTCAATCCTTTGATCTCCTTGACATCGCTCTGATTGGCCATCATGATAATATTCTTCACCTCGGTCTTAAGCTTCTCGTAGATTTCAACGGAGAAGGTTTCTAGTCCCTGAACGCATTCATCGCACATCTGCTGTAGTGCCGCGTGATTACCCTTCGAGCTAATCCACTGCAATAGATTGAGCTGGTGTTGTTGCTGTTGCTGCGACTTGGAATTCGAGTTGGATTGCTCGTCCCTTTGATCATCCTGCTCGTGACCCATTTTCAACTTCTTGTTGGGCGATGTACTGCTGTTGCTTTTCTCTACACTTTTCGTTCCAGGCTCAACCAAATCTGTCTCCGTCGTTAGTTTCTCTACATCTACATCCTCATTGTCGAGCAGCTCATCAAACCCATGAAAATCCGCCTGAGCCTGCGACATCAACGCTGGCAGTATGGGTATCCTCGCCAGCTGTTTGAGATCTTCGTTGAAATTGCGCAACAGCTCCAGATAGCTTTCCCGTTGCTGCAAATGTCGGTCGAAAGCCAGGCAAAAGTTGTGGAAGCGTTCAGTGAACTCACTTGTCAAATCCTCCATGTTAGCTACTACCGCGGACCACCCTTGCTGCTGCAGATGCTGCTCATGTACCAATCGCTCGCACTGCAGCTCCTCCTTGCGGCCTAGCTCGCCCATATGCTGCGCCAGCGCCGCTCGCTGCCGGACTGTTTCCAGCACTGCGGGCAATTTCTGACTCTCGTCCACCAGGCGACGTAGCTCCGCATCGGCAGCATCTGCCGCTGCACTAGCTGTGTTTCCGCTTGAGCCACCGCTGGCTATCGTTGGGCCCACACGCTCGTCACCGGTGAGGAACATGAAAATGGGATTCGTATCGGTGCCCGCGGAATAGCAGGAAACCTGTGTGGAGTGTGTCAGCATCTCGCCTCCGCTCACCAGCAGAACAATATTGGCAGCGGGTAGCTGGTGCAGGCGCTGAATTGTCTCCTTTAAATTCTCTACCGAAGACAAAGCAACGGTCATATCGAAGCTCAGCATGCGACCGACGTCCACATGGTAGACGTACAACATCATGTGGCAGCTGTCTGTCTATGTTGAAGCTCCAGCTGTTGTTGATGGGGTCGTCCTCCTCCACCGCCTCCTCTTTATACTTTACCACCTCCTTCAACACTTTGCTTCTTCTTCTCTTTATTTGGCAGTGCTAATGCTTATTAAATTCATACATGCGCATGTGTATATTTGTGTGGTGCTGCCACCTAGCGTTGAGGAGCTGAAAAACAAAGGCAAAAGAAGAGAGAGCATTATAATTAGGAAGGTTCATTCGAAGGGCTGCTCTTTTCTTAGTATTATATCTTTACATTTCTTTTACATTTTTGTATTCAGCGCATAACACGTGGCTGTTACAGTTACAAGTTAGCAATCAGTGAACATTCATACTTGATCAAGTGTTAGCGATAACATTTGCGCTAGTTTAGACATTACGGCGCTGCAGGTGGCGGGCAGCAGTTCAAATGTTAATGACTAAACAAAAGCCAACGTCGTCCAACGTTGCCGTTGCTGTTGTTGCTCGCGTTTTAAAGTCGCAATAAAGAACTAGTTGTATTTTTGTTATTGTGTCTGTTTATTCAATTCGATTTTTTTACATACATGTAATACATTGTTTACATTTTGTCTGGCAAACTTTGGATCATGAGCAAATGTAGAGGAAGAGATAAGAAGTTAATAACAAATAACACCGCTTTGGCTGTGTTGCACAAGCGCACATCGAATTTTATTATCAACCCTTTTTATTAAACACAAAAACCAAAGAAAAATGCGTGTCGACGTGCCCCCACACGTCTACTACTAACAGAACTAACAGATGTCGTCAGCGATGCAACGCTAGCATGCTAACGCATAGCTGTTAAGGCAGAGCCACACGTGTGCATGATACCTCGATTTGAATATAGATATGTACATACATAGATATGCATGCCTAGATCGATATACGAGAAAGAGAGAGAGTTGAATGAAGATAAGACTCATACCCATGACCCATACTTTGCTGCTATTTTAAACTCTTGTTAATGTAAATGTAATGTTTGAAAAATGCAATATTACTAGGAAACTCTTAATTACTGGAAATTCGTGAGCTAATTATGGGAAAATGCATTTAGTATACATCGCGAAACTTGGAAGTATTAGCAGTTTTTGATTTTACTTTTGTTTTGAAAAGTCTACACTTTCGAATGAAATGGCAAGTGCAGCGGACGTGCTGACGTTTGATTACTCATTAATGAAATCCAAGATCACCGCCTTTTGTCCATCTGATAATAGCCTATCAAGACAATTAAGTACAAAGGCCAATCAAAACATGAATGTATTTCTGATTTCATATATATATGTAAGTAAGTGAATTTAAACAGCATGAATCTAATAGATAAAAGCATCATCTCCTCTTAACGAACTGATCGAACTGCTTGAATTTCATGTGTTTCCATTTTCCACAGGTAACAAAATGTAATTGAGCTAAACTATAAGGTCTCATTTAGGTAAAACTATCATATTTGTGCATTACATCTTTCTGCATTCAAACATAGATACAGACATATGTATGTTTAAAAAAAACTTGTTCTGAACCCCAATCATTACGCAGCTGTTCTGAACAGCTGATATGCGCGATCGAACATCGAGTGCATTACAATAACAATAGCAACACAAACAACAAAATACCACAATTTTAATGTACTAATGTGATTTCTGTGGCCCAGTTGGCAGCACTGACCAGCACCAACGGCTACATGAGAGTGTATATGCATTTGTATTCAACACTAAAAAAAAGAACATATGCATGTTTGCCTGCGTATGTTTGTGCGCGCGTGTTTGTGTATTGTTTTGGCCTGCACTTTGTTATTTTCCATTACGTCTATTGGTATTCCGCCGAATGTTTTGGCTTGAAAATGCAGACACAACAGCAAAAATTACAAATGTGTTTAAGATATGGGCTCAAAACAAGCAAATTGATTTTATTAATTGTATTTTGGCATCAACCGTCTGAGGAAAACTAGCAACTAAATAACAGCAAAAGCGAATTTAGAAACAGAAACAAGGGTTGCCTGATGCTCAAAAAGAAAATGGCAGCAGGTGTAGTGCTGCATTTAGTTTCGCACAAGTGAAGCGAGGAATGGGCGAGAAGGGAGTGGGGAAAGGGTGGAGAAAATAAAAGTACGAGAATCGTGGGGAGGACTATTTAAAATTTATGCACCAAAAAGGGCGTCATCAGCAGCTCCTTTGCTTATATTTTTGTGTGCTTTCATATTAACTATTATGCTTAATAAAAAGCGATCCGTCGCACTTACCTTGTAATCTTTAATCAATTTACACTATGGCCCGTCTGTGTGAGTGTATTTTTTTTGTTTATGTGTGCGTGTGCGTGTATTTGTTTTTAGCTTGTGTTTTGATTTTAATCAATTGAAAACACAGCACGAGCACGAGCACGAGTACGAACGCTACAAATGATTTTACATCAGCTGTGTGTGGTATGTGTGTGTGTGTGTGTTTGTTTGTTCTGTATCAGCAGCAGCGACAAAACAAAAGCTGTTCGTGTCCAGTTTTATATTCTCCTTATTTTCCTTCTGCGCCTTTTTACTAGTTCAGTGTTATTGACACCTTATTATTTCCGTTTTCCCTACAATAACGCTTACTTTTTTATATTTTTTAGCGTATTACTTTTGACTTTTTCTTTACTTTATCACTTTTTGTTGCGTATCAAAAAAAATCAGAGCGGTGCAAAAACTGCTCAAAAAACTCACGCGATATGCCTAAAATTTAAATATGTTGCATTTTGTTTTTGTTTTTTTATTTGGTTGTTGGGCTTTTTGCTGTTTCCTTTTCCCCTTCTTAATCTATTTCTTTGTCTATCACAATTGCGTTGTTGTTGCTGCTGCGGAGTTGTTGTTGTTGTGAGTGGCTGCTGCTGTGGATGTTGTTGTTGGCAGTTATATTTCGCGTTAAATTTTTTGCCATTTACACGTTGCGCCGTTAGGTAATTTTTAGTTTTTTTTATTACATTAATTTCACGCATGCATATTGTTGAATTACTTAAATTTCTAATTAAATTAAACTGTATAAAAATGAAATAACGCACTTTCGTAGTTCCGCCGTCTTCTTCTTCTGTTTTAATAATAACAGCGATAACATTAACATTTGGCAAGCTGTTATTTACATCATCGATCAAAATGGATGGTTTCCCTGAATTGTCCATAAATAGATAAAACCCACGTATGATTAAGTACAAAAAACTGAAGTTCAAGCTGACATCAAATGTCACTTAGGCTTCAACTTAAAACAATGATATTAATTCAGATCAAGTCTTATGCTAAATGGCTATCGATACTTTTTTGGAATCTCACAAAAACTGTTATCGACAATATTACAAATACATCGTGAGCGCAATTTCCATCTTTCATTAGTATTCACCACTTACGCCCATCTTTAGTACTTAAGAAAAAGTATTCAGCCATTCTAGTGGAAAACTTCTAACGTGTTTTGTTTAGGGAAATCTTAGCAATAAAAAGTCATAATATAATTAGCTTTAAGTAGATATACAGCCGTGGTGACGATTTCGTCATAAATAAAACAAAACTACTGAGAAATAGACACACACAGGCATTGAAAAATCGTCATCTGCGGATATAGGATAGGGCAACGGGCGGATAAACACACACACTTTCACACATTCACAGAGATACTGACACAGATACACTTACATTCATACTCATTCATACACACAGCCCACACACACACTTTCGTTAATTCGACTTTTAAGATTCTCACTTACATGTAGATTATATATATTTTTCTTTTATCTATTTCGCTATTTGTGTTTGTATTTTGACTTAATTGCATTGTATTCTATCTTTAAAAAAAAAAAAAAAAACACATACAAAACACAAAAAATACCCTAAAAATGATCAACATTCAGACTATAGAAAATGTTGCGGACTGCACACCGCTTTATTTGCCGCACAGCTTGTACCTCAAGCCTTTGGCAAAAATGCAAATATCAGTTGCATTGCCCGAAAAAATCAAAACCGGCAAATCCGTATCAAATCTGGAGATAATGGATAAACTAAGTGCAGAACTGAAGCCAGATAAATTTTTGGTACTCAGGGTAAAGGAAAATAAGGGAATATGTATAAACCTAAACTATAATATGTACTTTTAATTTCGCAAGGTCTCGAAGACTACGGTAAACTACATACGCTTTGAGGCAGAGCTGGACGAACGGAAACGTTTGCGTTTGGCCATTGGACGCTTGGATGGCATCGCATTGCGGTTGTCCGGCTTCAGTGATTTGTTTCGGGTGCGCTGTACCGAGGCCAAGGACGAGTTTCCCACCCGTCACGATTGGGATTCGTACTTCCGAGATGCCCGCAACATGGATGAAATGAAAGCGGGCGAACGACCAGATACCATACATCTAACTCACTTACCCATTCGCTGGTTCTGCCCACGGCATGCGGAGCACGAAGAACATGTAAAGCCGAGCGAGAGCATCTTCAAGCGAATTTTTGAGAAATTCGGGCCTGTCCGTGCCGTTGATATACCTATTTGTGACGTGTATAGAAAGAGCATGCCGCCGGATATAAGCGGGATGCGGACCTTTAGCTACGAGCAGGATGTGCTCTTCGAAGCGTGAGTGTTTGCCTTAAAGGGAGCTTAACTGTATTTAATTAACGATTATATTACAGCTATGTCCAATTCGCGGAATACTCGAGCTTTGTGCGCGCCATGGATGAATTCCGAGGCATGAAGCTGGTGCGGAAATTCGTCGACAAAACGCAAGCCATCAACATTAATGTTAACTTTGACAAACAGAAGCATTTAAGCGATTCGCACTTGCAGCGACGTGAACGTATGAGAAAACGATGTATAGCAAAAGCCCAAGCTGAGGAAGAAGAGCTCGAGCGGGAGAAAAAAAAGCAAAAAGAGCTACAAGAACTCGAAAGGTTTGACCTCACTGTGGTTTGTGTGCTCGAGCAGACAATGAATCGGAATATTAAAACTTAATGATATCTGAATTTCGCTGAATTTCATAAACTTATTTTCATGGTTTAGCAAAAGAAACTCTTGAATATAATTTTTGCTCCTATGCATCACCTAAGTCATTTCAATATATGACTAAATAATATAAACCCTAATCGATTCAAGTTGTGATTACATTTTTAATGAAATGATTCAAAAGTATTAAATTTATGTATTATATTTTTAGTTTTTGCGAATGCCAAAACATAAAATAGATGTCATAAAAGGTTCTTTCCTTAAATTTTGCGCCTTCGATACGTTCGGTAAAGTTTAAGGTTTATTATTCCACCAGTTTCATTGCCTGTTCGGTCCATTAAACTTATTGTAAATAATATGTACAGTATATAGTCGGCCGTTAAGGCCTAGTCTGGCGAACTATACAGTTTTCTGCCTCTTCTAGACAAAACAATAAACATGTGCTAAGCAAAAAAACCAAACACAAAAAACAAAACCAAAAAAATTTACAGGCAAAGGCAAGAGCAATTGAAATTATCCGAATTGGAAAAGCAACGCGAACGAGAAGAGAAACGCAAGGAGAAGCATCTGAAAAAGATACAAGAACGCGGCCAAGTGGAGATCTCCCAAAAGATACGCGTCGAAGAGCGTAAACTGATGATAGCGCAGCGAAAACTTGAGAGCATTCGAATACTGGAGCAGGTTTTCGAGCGCATACAAGTGAGTTATGGAAAAATAACTTAAAGTTAAATACTAATTATGCATTCCCTGCAGCTGAAACAAACGGAAAAGAGGCAGCGTGGGCACCACGATGAAGAGAAAGACTTACAACGCGGTCGATTGGTCGAAAAGTACAAATGTGCCACGGAGAAATTGGTCTGTGACCAGCGCAAGATTGTGCAAGAAATTAAGACTAATACCCCGCTAATGGGTTTGCTCAAGAGTAAGTCCAAGAAGATTGGGATGGCTGCGGCTAGCAGCGAGGAGGAAGATTCAGCCACTACAATCAAAAAGCAAAAGCTTAACGGGAACTTTATCGGTGCAAGTGCAAGTGCAGGAGCAGATGCTACTTTGTCAAATTCTAATGCAGTGCTCAACCCCTTTAAGGCGGTTACAGCTGCGTTGGCCGCCGGCGCTGTTCCAGGCCCAGCTGCAGCTGCTGCTTACAATGGTGCTGCCGAGGCAGCCAGCGAATGGATGCAATCTCTTTCCATGTTCGGCTTAGGCATGCCCCCCGTTTTTCCTGGCACGGCACTTTATCGTGCACCTGGACCGTCGCCATTTGCTATGTCCACCAATTATCGTGGATTTGCTCCGCGTGGTCGTGGTCGTGGACGCGGCCGGGGCATGCGCGGCAGTCATTCCTTCTCCTATTACAATCCCAAGCAATACGATAACGATAGATACGAAGAAGATGATGGGGGCGATGGCTATTATCATAAGACGTCGCGAGGAAGGTAAGGGAGCGCTGCAAAGACCGGTTGCCAGCTTATGTTGACATATATTCATTTCAGAAATCGCTCACGCTCCACTTCATACTCACGTAGTCGGAGTCGCTCCCGGGGACGTCGGTAAGTGAACAGGGATATTTTTTATTGGTATATATATATAACATTGTTATGTGTTTTCTAGTCTTATTTGTCGGTCCAGGCGCAGTCGGAGTCGTAGTCGTAGTCGTAGTCGCTCAAATTATCGGAAACCCTCCTATTCCTCGCGTTCAAGGTAGGTGCTGGATTTTATTGCTTATTGAGTAATTATAATTCTATTTGAATCGTTTCTAGACGCAGCTATAGTCGATCACATTCGCGTAGCCGTAGCAAATCACTAGTTCAGCGCAAGAATCGAAAATTAGCCTCAACGCGACGCTCACGGTCCAGCAGCTACTCCAGCTCACGCTCCGGTTCCCGTTCTTGCTCTCGTCGCTCTAATTCACGCCGAGATCGGCGAACTCGTAATCGTATCAAGAGTCGCAGTCATAGTCGTAGCAGGAGCTGCAGTAATTCCTCGAAGCGGGTCGTTTTGGAAGCTGATAAGCTAGTGGCATCTGCGGAGCACATACAACGCACCATTGAACAGCACACAAAGGATCGCATGCGGGAGGAGGTGCGCGAGATAAAACAAACGTTTCGGCACCAGCATCAGAGCAAACAAAAAGTCGAGGACCCGGCGCCTCATTCAGCGGATTCAAGAGAAGGATCAAAGCAAAGGGCATGACAAGCGAGGTAGTCGCCGCAATTCTTTGACAGCATAGACTCATGATATAATTGCAGCTAACAGAGTTCACAATAAACTAAAGTGTAAATAACTATCAAAAGCGCGACATAGCCTATTAATGCTTAAAAATATATTATTAATTTAATATAGAGTCAATATTTATATTGAAATTGTACAAATATTGATTGGGAATACATCTTGCGCTCGATCAAATGTGGAGGTGGAGACCAACAGTTAAATATCCCTATACTAATATCGGAAAAATCCAAACATATCGTTTTTGCTTGATCAGTGCTGTTGGAGAAAAGTTTAAGCTGCACCTGCAATATGCAGTAAATTGTTTTATATCATTTCTTAATTTCATATAATCTTAGCAAGCAAAAATGGGCTTGAGTTTGCCGTACCGAGTAAATTTAAAAAACGTGTGCTCAGAATGTGTGTGGTTGGTTGGTGTTTTCAGTAGTTGTCGAACATTAGAACCTTCTGCTGTTATTGCGAGCCCTATTCCGACCACCACCACCACCGCCGCCGCCGCCGGCGCCCCCGCCTCCACCAGAGCTGCCATTGTTGCCGCGTCGTCGACGCTGTTGCCCATTGTTGTTGCTGCTCTTTTGGAATTGATCGCGATCCCGATCATTAAAATTATCGCTTCCGCTGTTGCCATATCCATTTTGATTGGCTGGGCCGCCATTGCCATAGGTCCAGGGGTTAGTAGAGGCCCAAGGACTGGGGCGATTCGAGTCCTCGC